ATCTTTTATGCAGTTTTCTAAATGTGTTATTTCTTATTTTAAACTCTAGTTTTCTTTTAAAAGCAAACTATTTTCAATTAATTAATTTTGAAATTAAACCTCCTTCTCTTTCATTTTTTATTCAAATTCTTTTAATCTTTCTGTAAAATTTTCATATTTTAATTGCTTCTATTCAGGTAAACGATTCATCGATACTTTTTAATGAGCTCTCATTTCACTTATTATCTTCTCTTTGAACTCTAATTATTTAGTCAACTAATCAACTTTCTTTCTAAGCTCAAGTACTTCATCTCCACTAAATCTTTCAGCAATCGGACTTACTTGCTGTTACTTTAAATATTGTGAATAGAATAATTAAGTCGAGGAATTATGGGAGAGCTAACTGGTTTAACGATTCATTAATTTTTAAGAATTTTAATATTGCACTTAAATACAATAGTAATCTTAGATCTTCTCTAATCCTAAATATATACAACTCACCCATCTTTTTTATTTCTTTTTTCTATTTTTTTAGTAATCTTACACATTATCAATTATCAATTAACATTATTTGATAATATATTTTGGTATATTCTTTAAAATTGAAAAAAAAGTATAAATTTATTTGTGTCAGTAAATATTTTATTTGAAACTTCTCTTTTCTATTTGAATAGAAATATTATGTGTCAATATATTATTATTCTATAATTGCATATTTATTTATTTATATTTTTGTTTTCTCATTTAGAATTTAGAATTTTGCAATTATTTTCTAATTTTCAAAATGATTCATTTAACTTTAATATTTATATAATTACCTAAATATATCTATAAATTTGATGAAATAAAACTAAAATCTTTTAATTAATTGAATGTAATTTGGTATAACTGAAAATATATAATTATATTATGTAATAAAATAATCAATCCTATCTTCTTAAAAAAAATCACTATATGATTTAGAAATCATATACTTAAAGAACTAATAATGAATTAAGACTTTCTAAATCCAATCCATAAATAAATTGTTCTAATAGAACTCATACTTTGTTGAATATGAATTCTTAAAATGAAAATGATGATTTAAGTGTTATTTTAAAATCATCAAATCAAAATTAATTATAAGGTAATATATTTCTATCTAAAAAAGCATATAAATTTCAAAGCAAAAATCCATATTTGGTAAAATTAGAAAAAATTTAAGATCTTGTATTTTAGAAAAAACTATAAAATGTTTGTAAATATAATAAAAGCAGTAAACTTCACAATGTAGCTTTACCTGTTCCTAAAGGCACTTGCTCTATCATGTTAAATAAAAATAAAAATAAACATAATGTCTTTAATATTTCAACATTAAATAAAAAATTAGACCCTAAAGTAAAATATAAAATGAAATGGAAAACTATCTAATGGCTTATTTAATTTAGAAAAGATGCTATCAATTAAATGTTTAAAAACTATTAATATATAGTCAAATTTGCTAAATAAAAACATAAAGGTCTAACTAAATAAGATTTTAATGAATTGATGGTAGCAGTAGGATTAGGAACTGATATAAATTTATTAGAAAAACTATTTTATGTGTTTGATGAAGATTCTAATGGAACTGTTGATTATAAAGAATTAATTATAGGTTTAGAAATATTTAAAGAAGACTCAATAGAAGAAAAAATTAAAGGTAAGATTCTTAAACTATCTAGTATTTTTTGATATTTGTGATGCAGATGGAAATGGAAGTATTTCATAAAAAGAATTATACGATGTATTAAAAACTAACATTGTAGCATTTCATGATAGACTAAAATTAAAGAAAACTATTCACTAAATCTTTATTGAATGCGACTAAAATGGAGATGGAGTTTTGGATAAAGAAGAAATATTAGAAGCTTCAAAAACAAATGTTACTTTAAGGTAATTACTTTAATAAAGCATTAATGATGTAAAATAGATTGATAAAATGATTGAAAATGATTTAAAAGAACCATTTAATGAATGGGTTCCTGCTTCAGCCAACTTTATTAATTATAAGGAAGGAATTTTCTATCCATATAATGATAAAATTATATAAGCATTTAAAGAAATAGAAGAAGTACTTATTTTATTTAGTCTAGATTAAAACCATCAATTCAAATTTTTCAATTTTTTGATTATAATAAGGATTTCAAAATCTAAACTAAATAAAACTATGAATAATTATTATAATAATTATGATTATTTAATATTTAATATTCATTCTTCACCTCCACGATTTGATAATTTAGATTTACTCATATCTGTAATAATTCGGTGAGAATTCATTGAATGTTTCTTCTTTTTTTCTTTTTCTATTTCTAATAATTATTATTATCTCTTCTCTTCTGCTTCCTTTCTCAATTATTCACTCATTTTAATTAAATGTTCTTTTTCCATTTAAATTTATTAACTTTTTAGTAAATCTAACTTAATTCTTTATTCAAGTTACTCTTTTCTAAGTTCATCTAATTATTCACGTCTTTATAAATTATCTTGTTTATCTAATTCTTTAATAAAGGCTAAAGCTAATTTTCTAGTTAATTCCTCTTGTTTTTCTTTTTCAATTTTTTCACACTTAAATTTAGCTTAATCTAATTTTTTTAGTAGTTCTTTTTTATGTTATTCAGCTTATTATTCATTTCTAATTAATACTTCTTATATTTTTCTATCTTTCTCTTAAAATTATTTTTATTTCTCCATTTAATATAATTTTTATTCCTCTTCAAGTTTTCTCTTTTTTAATTGTAATTCTTATTATTTTTTTTCATAATCAATAACTTTTTTTCTCATTTATTCTTCATTTTATTTTAATACCTTATTTATTTCTTCTTATTTCATTTCTCCTTCTTTTTCTTTCTATCTTTTCTTTTCTAATGTTTAAGATTCAAAAAATAATCTTTATTATTCAACATACTTTTATTTTTCTTCAAAATCTAATCTCTTTTTATTTAATTACTCTTCATTTAATTTTCTAACTTATTCTAATTTTGCTTCTTATTCTAATCTCTCTTATTCTGCCTTCTCTATTCTTTTTTATCTTTCTTCTTCAAACTTTTATGATCTTCTTAAGTCTTTCTCTTTTAATTCTTTTAATCTCATATCTTATATTTCTTATTAACGTTATAAAAATTATTCTCTATCTTACTAAATCTTTTTTTATTTTTCTATTCTTTATTCTTCCTTAAATTAATTTTCCTCTTTCCTTTTTCTTTCTAATTCTTCTTCTCTCTACTTTCTTTTTTAATCTTTAATTTTATATTATTCTTCTATTTCTAATTAAATTCTTTTTTCTTCTTCTTCTTTTTTTCTTCTTTCTTCTTCTAATTATTATCTCTTTTTTTCTGCCTATTCTTTTTACCATTAAATTTTCAATTCTCTTTATTTTTCTTTTTCTTTAATTCTTTTTTCTTTTTCAGCATTATTTCTAGCCAATTCTTCCATTTTCTATTCTGAATTAATTATTTTTTCTATTTCTAATTCTTACCTTTTGCGAATACTACTTAACAGTTTCTCTCGTTTTTCAGCTAAAGATGAAGTGCTTCTAAAGACACTAGAATTTGACATCTAATTTGGCCATAATCCTTATGATTCTTCCTACAAAATTTTTTGTCTTGTCTGACGGACCACTTAAATCTTCTATCGGCGTTTTTCCTCAAAATGATCGAATACCATTTATATAACTTCCTCGTTTGCCAATTAGCCTTTAGAAAATCAATGTTCATTACCTGATGGATCTTTTTATTTAAGCATAAGTCTAATCAGGTCTTTGCCTTTTTATATTAAATCCTCCTTCTTAAATCCTTCTCTTTTACATGCTTCTTTCATTCTAGGAGTAAATGAATTTGCAGTTATATCTTCTTCATCAAATTACTCATCTCTTTCTTGATTATCTTCTTATTATTATTTATTATTTTGCTATTCTCTATTTTATTTTTAAGGGAAATTTTCCTATTGTTTTGGGTTTGAATTTTATTATTAAACATTTTATTCAGTCTCCTAGGGTTCATTTTATTAATGTTCCTCTTCGGTTTCATTTTGATTATTTCCTTCTTAATTATTTTCCATTTGTAATAATTAATTTTAATATTAATATTCCGTTTAACAATGAAGCAAGTGAAAATACAATATATGTTTAATCTCCAATCGTATTAGATATGAAATGATCAACCTATTAGAATATTTATATATGATAAATATTAGAATAAATGAATTATAAAATAACAATTAAGATATTCTAATAACATATAATCCATTCAAGATATTTTATTATATATATATATATATTAATTCATATAAATATGTTAATGAAATTAATTTTATTCTTAATATAATATAATAAATGAATTAAAATTAAAACTTTCAAAACAATTTGAACCTCTTTCCAGAAATTGGAACACATGGTGCTAGAGGAAAGGTAAATATTATTTAATAAAATAGTAATATGGTGGTAACAACATTACAATGAGAGGGACTGAAATTTTTGAAGGATTAACTAGTGGAAGACCTTCTAAAAATATTATATAAGCTCATTTCAAAGTGTTAAGATTTTATAGAAAAGTGTGTCGACTGATTCCTTTTTTACTAAGAATACATGATTTAGAAGTCACTTGCAATTCTTAATAAGCAATGCTTAATGTTGCCAATGTAATAAGAAAGAGAGCATACTTAAGAGATCCTGATGCTGTTGATAGATGGGTATGATTGATATTATATTATAGGTATATCGTGGATATGAATTACTCTATTAAGCTGAATGGCATATGTTAAATAGAGATCATTTATTCCAATATTTTGCTAATCAAAACAGATCTGATGCAGGATATTCTTATTTAGAAAATTAAAAGCTTAAAGGAAAGAGCGAATTCTTAAAAGATTTCTATATTGGAAATAAAACATATGAATATTGAAAACATATTCAGTCTAAAAAATAATAGCATAATTATACAAAACAAAAAACTATATAATTTGTAAAATATTTCATTATTTATTATTATGTTTTATTATCTATTCTGTATATATATCAAGCATTAGCCTATGATTCTCCTTTTAAGGTTTAATTTAATTATTCCATGCTCAAAAAACCTGACTCAGATCCTTAATTCTATTATTTTTCTTATCTTAATTTATCAAGATTTAGTCTATGTGTATTTCCTGGAGTATATTAAGGACTAGATTTTCTACTTCCTTATTTAGGTTTTTACTATGATACTCTTATGGGTTTCTCTGGACTCCAATCTTAAAGTCTTTAAGGTTTTGATTTATATTAAGTTAACTTTTAATTCTAAAAATCATCCAATTTATATCTTATTTAGATTTTTTTCAATACCTAATATTTTAGAGTCGTTTGGATATATTAGTAGATTCAGGTTCTAATTCTTAAGGTTCTCTTTTTTATTACTAATTTTTTTAATATTTTCTAAAATTTGGGAAACCAGAAAGTCCTCTTTAATCAGTAGAATATGATGGTCGATCATAATCTCTAACATATCTTGGTTCTTATCTTAATGATTATTCTCTTTCATTTTAAAATAGATCTGAAATATATGATTATAAATCTCCTCTCATTCTATTAGATTTATGAGATCTTCTTTCACTTTCTCTGTCTTCATTTGGACTTTTCTTGAATTATTGTTATTAAGTAACTGGTGGATTCTTGAGTAACTATTAGCCTTTAGTAGGAGATATTTAAACTTAAGACTCATATATAAAGGATTATTTGTTTTAATTTGCTGTTGATAATCTACTAGTTTATAATTAAGAACTGGATATATTTAAATTGATTTTGCTTTTTTATAAAATATTAGTGGAACCATCTAAATAACTTACTTATTTCTTCTTATTTGATATTTGGCTATTTTCAGATCCTTCAGGATTAGTTTTTTATTATAATTTGTTAATCTATAATTCAGAAGCCTTAATTTCAGACTTTTTTTGTAATATTTTATTGAAACATTCAGATTCATTTTATATTACATCAATTTTCTCTTTTTATTATTATTGAGTTCCTTAAACTAAAGTATCTAATTTTTCTTATAGTTATTCTAAATTATCACAATTTTAGATAATATTTAATATTTTTTTATTCTTCTAAGCTTCTAATTATTTGATTCCATCTTTATCTTTTTATTCTAAAATATTTAATAATTCTAATTTCTCTTAAATCATTTATAATTTATGTTCATTTTATTTTGCTTAATATTCCCATTATTCCCAACATTTGATGAAATTATCTTCATTAAGATTTATATCTTTAAATACATTTGTTCTAAAAAATAAGGTTAATATTTACAAATCTAATCCTTTTGAATAATCTACAAAATCTTCAATTGATAATGTTTCTTTTCCTTCTTTTTTTAATGTTTTAAAAGCTTCAGAAGGATTCTTAAATTTATTAGATAAATTCTTTTTCAAAGAACACCAAATTTTGAGAGTTGTTTAACTAATTTCTATCTCTTCCTTTTATTTAATAAGTTACTCTATTTCAGACATAAATTTTATTGTATAATAATTGTATTAATTTGTGAATTTTTATTATATATTATTTTTTATATTATTTGATGTTAGACTACGCTTTCAAAACTCATTAAGATACAATTTATAACTCTTAAGAAGTTTAGTCAATTATAGATCAGATTGTAGAAATATAAAATTCGAATTTGTTAATAAATCCCACTATTACTGTGACACCTTAAAAAATCTTTAAAGTATTGTTTTTAAATCATATTTGATAACTGCTCGGCTATTTATAGATGATGCAAAACCTCCAGTTAATATTAACTTTCTGTTCTAATAAGATGGTATTAAAAGTATTCTTACTAAACCTTAAAATCCATGGAAATTTATTTAAAAATATGAAAGTAAAAATAATAATAATTGCATCAGATTAAATGGAACCTGATTTAAGTTTTATGTATCATAAGAATAATAATCTAAATGGTGTTATTGAAAAATTAAGAGCTGAATTTAAATTGAATTATCCATATTCTTAAAATTCTGTTTTATAGAAGGATCCAGCAAAAATAGAATTAGAAAAAAAAATAAAAAAGTACACAGACAAAGTATAAATAATTTAAATATATCATATAGATGGAAAATGATTGGAAAGATGTAAAAGAATTAGGTGATCAATTATTCAAAGAATATTAATTTGCTTAAGATTAAAGAGCAAAACTAAAGTAGCTTAAAGATTATCTATAAGGATTGAATGAAAAATTAACAGATGAGATTAAATGTATGAATTAATTTTCAGCTGATTATTCATAACGTGAAGTTAATGAAGATAATATACTTTAAATCTTATCATTAAATTAAGTTGATGATTAAATTTGTAATTTATAAGCAAATATATATGGAATTCGTGATACATACAAATATATATAAAATAGAATGAAAACAAGTAGTAATGTAACTTTAGAATGGGTTTCCTCAATAGTAAAATAATTGGCTGAATAGGAATTTAATGATATCCAATTGTTAAAAAAGTGCAATAGATAGCTATGAAAAGCTATAAATAATGAAATCATAATTAATAATAAATAGTTATTCCAAAATTAAAAAAAGGGCTAAATATATAAAAAAAAGAATTAGCTCATATTAAATCAATAATAAAACCCTTTGCCAAATGTCCTTATCTTTCCAATAAATTTATCTGATTTTACTATCTCTTGAAATTAGTCATACCCAACTTATTAGTAGTCAAAACTTTAATTAGTTTGAATATCAATTGGCAATCTTGAATACTTTTAGAATATTATATACATCATTCTCCTTGTGATTAAGTATCTATCTATCCAAAATTTGTATTCATAACTTCTTCATATTTTAAAATTTATCAACCATATATGTAACATTCTTCTAAACTTATGAATTTTAATAAAAAGTATTTATTTATCCAATCGTATTTTCTTATTTATCTTTAAACTAATAGTCAATATAATATTAAACTTAACATTTATTATAATATTATAATAATGTTTTCAAAAAGTGATCGTATTTGTTTTCAGCCTACTTACAATCCTCCTGTTGGCTATTATGAAATCAACCAATAATAATAAGCTAAAGGGAGTGATTTTTCAAAATCTATATCAAGAAATCTAGATAGTCGATAAAGTGTAAGTCCTTAAAATTATAATAACAATCTACCAAGAGTTTCATTAGCTAGTCCCTAGTTATCTGCATATGCAAAACCAGGTGAAAGATTGAAAATTGAACAGAAATATAAGAAACCAAAAGAAAGAAGCTTCAGTTACACTTAAAATCCAGACATATCGATTAACAATTTTGAGAGATTGCCCATTAAATAAAAAGGCAAACGACTTAAGATAGTTTATCAAAAACACACAACAGATGTTGAAAATTCAATGGAAGAACCGAATTAATTATAAGTCTAGGGATATTATAATTCAAGAGCCCAAACCCCTTTTACAGGATAATCCAAAAGAAGAAAACCTAAAAGTATGGCTACTCATTATTATTATTGAGCACATAGGAATATATTTTCATTATTTCCTTCTGATAGTCTGGAATTAGCATAATAAAGAGAAAAAATGAAAGATAAACCAGTTCCTCCTCCTGGAGCATATTATAATGAATTTAATGATTCCTCTATAAAGGTTGAAAAAATACCTTGGAGATTTTAATGTTTCTCTTCAACAGTTAGAAGATTTAGTTAATAACAGTAAGATGCAGGTCCTAGTGTAGGTGCTTATGAAATCAAAACAAAATCAAAAGCCATCGGAGTTATATCACTTGATAAATATAGTAAAAGATAAGATAAACTCCTTAATTTTCCTGGTGTTGGTACATATGACATTGATTAATCATTTACATAATCAAAACCTAAACAAAAATAATAATAAGATTTTCCATGTCCATTTGGATCAAGTGGCAAGAGATTTTGATTAGAATATTATTATTATATTTATTAAATATCTAAATTACCATATATTCCTTCAGAAGTAAAATCATATATTGAACAATAAAAAATAGAGGATGCTTTAAAGGTAGTATTATAATTGGTTCTAACTGTAAAATTGTTATTAATATGTGAAGGAGATCGAAATGTTGTTAATAATGTTAAAAAACTATTTTTTTCAGGTAAAAAAGGAGATATTGAACTTTAATTTTATTAAATTGGTATTTTTATTTGTCCTGGTAATACAATACCAGATAATTTAAAGATAATTGAATTAGCAATAGATGCAACTTACCTTAAGGATCAAGTATAACTTGGTTTAGTATGGTTGGCATTATTATTTTATGTTCCTGAAGAGAAGAAATATGATTAGACAATCCAAAAAAATTATTAGATCCAGATTAATAAATAGATTAGTATTTCAAATTATGTTAAGAAAAACTAATCATTTTTTATATCGAGCATCCTATATATCATACTGATTTTATTTGATGGACTAAAATTAATAATAAATTTAGAGATTCTAAAGTAAAATTAGGGAGTAGAAGATTGTATTCAAATAGTGAAAAAAACAAAAAAACATTGTGAAACATTCAGTCAATAATAAAATCTAGAATTAATTAAATAGTAAACAAATTAGATGAATAATGAAAGAATATATATTGATAATATGTATAAAGCTCTTTATGAATACACTACATTCACAGAATTATAAAAATCATTTAAGTTATTTTTTCCAAAAGTATTATTTATATATAGATTAATAGAAATCTTAAAATAGTTTTCACTTCTAATTTTAATATTAATATTGGACCTCTAATTAAATATGAAAAAATGATAAAATACAATAAGTTTTAAACATTATGTAATTGATGTGATTGATAGATTTTTAAATAGAAAAATATAAATAAACTTAAAATAAAATCATGATAAAGACTTCAAAGTTTGCATAATAAAGTATTAGTTTTCCATAACTTTTTTATGAAACATTTTAAATGTACCAATGCTACATTTAGCCTATTATGCAATTACTGAAGATAGAATACCTCCTCTACTTGCAAAAATAATATCTCCACTATATTTGACTATTGCAGCAGCAATCACATTTTCATGTTCTCCTTAAATTAAATTATTCTGTTGAATTTTATTAAATACTTAAACACAGAAATTAACAAATCTTTGATTAAGTCCTAACTTGTTTGATATTGATTTTATAAATGCTTAAACAACTGGTTCTAATTTATAATTGTTGTGAATTTTGAGTAATATTTTTTTAATTAATTTTTCTGAGACTGAAATTTTAGCTAAAATTTCTCTTTGAGTGATTGGAATGCTTGTTTATTTTATGGCAGCAATCAATCCTGCAATAGCAATGGCAATAGCAGTGTATTTTTTTTATTTAAGTTCAGACAATAAGTCAGGTTATAAGAGTTGTAATGCAATTTTTAATAGATCTTCATTCAATCCCAAAAGAGATATTTAGTTTTTCATTTCTTCAACTATTGCTGATAGTTTTTTACGATTAAAATTAGATTCCTAATTATCATCAGAGGAAGTATCAGAATTATTATCTAATGTGCTTGAATTAAAATTTGAGTCTTTAATTTATATCTCAATTGGAAGTAGATCTAGAGAATTAGTTTCAAATTCATTCAAATTAAATTTTGGAACTGGTGGTCTTATGATATTCCTTTTTATATTCATTCTAATAGAGAGAGTAGTTAAATAAATAATTTTAAAGACTTAGAATTCACTCCATTTTTTATATAAATTAACTCAAACTTAAGTCAAATTTATCTCACTCTGTAGTATTGAAAAAAAATAAATTTTTAGTTAAATTATTTAGCTTTTAATAAGGATAACTAAGAACTTCTAATCAGTTAGATTACTAATAACTATTGCAAACAAATTATATAAGTAAATAAAGAATGAATCAATATATATTATATTGAATAAAAAAATTACTGATTTAAATACTTGCTTATAATAATATTCTAATTGTTTAAATCAAAGTAAAATAGATTTCATAATCATATTATTGAGTTTCTATCTAATTTTCTTAATTATATATATAAAGTTTTTGAATTGTAGATATATTTTTGTATAAGAACATAGCATATATTATGTATAAATTAGCTTTCTTGTAATTATTGATTATTATAATGATTTATGCCATCTAATTATATTAGTTACTAAATTTAATAATAAATGAGTGTATAATTGAATGATAGGCATATTACATAATTAGAAGAATTAGAATCTTTAAAAGGAAAACTATAATGTCCATCCTATAGATCTCGTAATCTTTCATCGGATAGATAGTATACTCCCTCATTGACAAATGATTTTAGAAGCACAAGAAATAGCGATTAATAGAAGGATTCTTAATCAGTAGAAAAATGTATTTTTTATTTGAATTATGGTCTAGTCATGAATCTTAAACAGTAAAATTAGAATGTTGATAATCTTTCTCAATTATGGAAATAATAAAAGTAGTCCATATCATTAACTTAAAGTTTATATTCATAAAATCCTATATGTATATATGTTATATATGTAAAATTAGCTGATAAATAAGAAATTGAATAGTAAATCCCTAAATATACTCATTTAGTAATAGAAGAAGAAGATAATTTAGTTACTGAATAAGATGTCAATAAATTTAAAGTAGTTTAGGCAGCCAACAATGTAAGAGTAAATGGAAAATTTCCAACTGCTACAAAATAAGGTGGTTAAAAAAAAATTTAATAATAAGCTCAGAACATATAGACAAGTAATAATCAAGGTTAAAGCAAAAAAACTAATAGTAATAATAATAATAATAACATTCGTCCTTAAACTACAAAATCCTAAGCTCAAGTACCTTAAACACCTTAAACTTATAAGAGAACTGTTTAAAAAAGTAATACAAAGTCCTTTTAAGCTCCAATTTTAGATAGTATATGTTTCAAATAAAAATAGTTCCATAAACTCCATCATAAAAATTAAAATAAAGTTCCTTATTAGAAAAAAGTAGATAAGGAAAGATAAATTAGGCTGTTGGTAAAGTAATGACCAAAAAGAGTTCTGAAGAAGATGAAAAAAATTTAGTCTTTTAATTAGCTAGATTAAAAGATAGTGTAACAAAGTTATATGATAGTAGATTTGAAAATAAGCTAACTAATTCTTCATTATTAATTGAAAAGTAAATATTAATTATTGACTTAGAAATTTTGATTAAATAATTAACACATTGTAATAAGATTTTAGATTTCATGAAAATGATATGTGAAAAATTTATATATCATTCAATATCTTTGATTAAACTTATAATTAATTTAATAAAAGTTTGTAAATATTAATTATTCTTTGATTAAAATATTTAATCATATTTTTTTGGTATTAGTCAACGTATTTTCATTGTATAATAAATTAAGTGTGTATAATAATTATAATTAAGAATAATTTAAATGAAATCTCTGAGAATTAACAATCAATATATAATATCTAGAAAAATTGCTTCAGGTGCATTTGGGTTTGTGATGCTAGGTTTTGATTAAAAAACAGGACAGTAAGTGGCTATAAAAATTGAAAAACCTGAAAATGAGCATCTTAGATCTTTAGAAAAAGAAGTAGACATAATAAAGAGATTGGAAGGAGTTTAAGGAGTGCCTTAAATGTTATATTTTGGTAAATAGGATGACTTTAATGTTTTGGTTTTGCAACTTCTTTCTAAAGATTTGTCCTCTTTGATAAAAAAATAAAAGAAATTTAGCCTCAAAACTGTTTTATAGATTGGAATTAAATTAGTAGAAGTACTGGATGATATTCATTAAAAAGGAGTATTACATAGAGATTTAAAACCAGAAAATATTATGATTGATGATAATAATAGATTTTATATTATTGATTATGGTATTAGTAAGGCATTTATGCGTAAAAATGGAACCCATTTGTAAAATATTAAAATAATTAGACCTTTCAAAGACAGATAACCATTTATTGGAACATCTCGATATGCTTCGATTGCAGCTCATAAAGGAAATGAATTAGGAAGAAAAGATGATTTGGAATCTTTAATTTACATCTTATTGTACTTTTATTATGGGTAAAAATGAAGATTTTCATTGTTTCAGTAATTTACCATGGCAAAACATTAAGCATGTTCCAAGTGACTAAAAGATAATATAAGTTGGTGAAATTAAGTAAAAATAGACTCTTGAATTGTTTAAGAATTTACCTGAAGAATTGAAAAAAATATATGAGTAATATTTTAATAAATATATAGATATTTACGTAAATTAACATATGTTACAGAACCAGATTATAAATCAATAATTAAATTATTTTAATAAGCTGCTAAAAATTCCAAAATAAAAATTGATTCAATTTATGATTGGGATATCCAAAATACTGCCCAAACAGAAATGTTTTCTCGTTATGGAACAATTTAATTTGATGATAATTCTGAGATTGATTAATATCAATCTAATTAATAAATGTAATTATTATATCATTTTATAGAAATATTAAATAACATCATATTAATCCTAATAAAAGAAAAACCTTTTGTCCATCTTTAATTAAATAAACTTTTAATTAAGATCTTATTTAAATTGTAAAAGATAAAGGTAAAAAAAGTAATGGTAGTAGTGCAATGGAAAATATTAATGAGATATATTAATTATCAAAAGATGAAATAAGTGAAGATACTCAATAAATAATTCCAGAGGAATGTTAATAAAATTAAGGTTTGAGAGTTAGAACGTTGCCTGATTATTTGAAAAAACCAAAAATCAAATAAAAACCAACTTAAACTCTCGTTTTTGATGATGATTGGGTGATTGACTCAGGTACACATTTAGTAGATAATTATAAAAAATTATAATCTTTAAGTAATTAAATGACTACTATTTTTCATAATAAATAAAAGTGATAAATATAAGTTGTATTTTTAATCATTAATATCTTTCTGTTTAATTATTTATATATTTATAAATCATTATGAAAATTTTAATCTTAATTATTATTGTAATTAAGATTATTTATATAATTCAATATTTCTTGTATTTTAAGATTATTAATAATATATATATATACGTATATAAAACTCTATAATTTACTCTCTTTTCTAATTCTTTTTATAATATTATCTAATTTAATCTTATTCTTTTTAGTTGAAATATAAATCTAATTTATTTTAAAATTATGATAATGAATAGTCTCATTTCTATTCTAATTATAAATGAATAAATTTATGTAATATTTTTTAAAGTATTTAGTTGTAATGAATAATTTGTTATTATTCATCCTGTAGAATGGTTTTAAAATAAATTAACATAATAAATTAATATTAAAATCTATGCAAAGGTTATCATCTCTATTAATTGGATTTGGATTAGGAATTTTTGGAATGAGCTTACTATATGATCCATGGGGACAAGTAAATAAAATTTATATGTAGGAACGATTTGAAAGAACAGTAAGAGAAACAGCAAGATTAGAAAACTCAATTCTTAATAATGTGGATATTTATTTATAGATGAGAATGTTTCTTGGATATGTCTTAGTTGCTTGTTCATTTGTATCAATGAATAGGTAATATTTAATTATTATTATAAAAGAATTGGTTTACTTTATGTGCTCTCAATACCAGCCTTATTAGTTTATGCTGCAATCAATTATAATCATGTATTATACAAATCAGAAAGACTTGGTGGTGAGTAAACTATATAAGGAGCTTTATTTTATATTGCATTTTGTTTTGCCTTGATTGATGCATTAATAAAACCTAAGAAATTGCCATAACCACAATAAAACTAAAAAAAAGTAGAAAAGAAAAAAAACGAATGATTTATTATTAAACACATGTATTTATAAATTGTTATATTAAATTGCTGGTTAATATATAATTAATACTAATTCATTTATATTATTTTTATCTTTCTCACATTTGAAGAATGAAAACTATATTTTATATAAAAGATAGTTATCAATAGATGCAAATATTTATATCCATCAAATATTGTAAAATATATCCTTAATCTTCCAAATTTATTTATGCATCCCTATTATTACTAATATGATACTATGTTATTTTGAAGTAATTGAAAAGGATGATAGATATCAAATAAAATGTAAAATTTAGGATTGGTTATTTTAGATTATATTTAATAATCATTAATTTAAAAAATATGTTTATGTAATATATTATTATCCAAAAAAATATCATATTTTTCTTGTTTTTATAAGGTTAATTTGCTTGATTAGAAACTAGAATGCTGATAATTTAATTTGAGATTTGTTTACACTATTTCTATAAATATTTAATGAAGTTTAATTTTAAACAAAACTGGATTATTTGCACTGTTATTGATTTAAGTTTAGGAGAATTTCTAGAATAATTTTCAGAGTGTTTTATTTTTAGAAATTTTTAAATATTTTATTCTTTTAATATATTATCTATTTATCTAGTTATAATCTTTCTATTTATCAAATAAAGGATTATTATTTATCTTAAGAGAATATGAAAGATTATTTAGTTTAATTTTAAAAGTATATAATAGATTTATCAATATATTTGAAATATAATTGTATATAAATATAATATCAGTAGTTGCATTATTATATGATTCTATTAGATGTTCAGTATTAAAATTGTTAATATAGGTATAAAGAATATAAATATTAGATTGACAGTTTAAGAATACTTAATAATAAAGTGGATTTATTTAAGAAAAAAATAATTCTTTGGTTTTAGATAATAGTTAAGTTAAGATTAAAGAGAAATCTAACTGTTAAAAGGCAATCTTGATTAAATAACATTTCTATTTTGGTATAATATTGGTAAAACTATTTTAAGCAGTATTCATTAATATTATTAAGGTTTGTATAAAATTTGGAAGATTATGAAAAAAGTATATACAGTACCAACTCCAAGAGAATAGAAACCAAAAGTATAATAGAAGAGTTAAAATGATGTGATGTGAGTTATATTAAATTATGCGTAGAAAGTAATCGTAATTTGCCTATATTCCTGATTAACCCACTTAAAAAGAATAATCATCTAAGATGGCTCGTCCATATTTAATGTTCAAACCTAAGTTAGTAGAAGAAATAGATGAGAATAATATGAAAAAGATGAAACTTTCATTTCACAATTCAATAACTGACTTATAAACTTTTGAAGAATTAGCACAAGAATAACAGCAAAGGGAATCAACTCCAAATTTAAATTTTACTCCTTAAGAAAAGACTAAGACATTTGTCAGGTAAACTATTATTTTCTATTATCTTAGAAAGTCTATGAGACACTTAACTTAGCTTTGAAACAAATAAATTTCGTGATAAATTATATATATGACTTATTTAAGTCTTTTAATATTCAATTTTACATATCCACATTTTATTTAAAAATTTACCACTAATGAAACACAATTAACAACTTCCTAATGCACATTTAAGAAAACATTGGACAAGATTTGTTAAGACCTTTTATAATCAACCAGCTGCAAAAAGAAGAAGATAATTGAGAAGAAGAACATTAGCTTTATGTATATATATTATATCCAATAAATTAATAGCCTCATCTCCAAGACCTATTGAACTTCTTCGTCCTGTTGTTAGAGGATAGACAATAAAGTATAACAATGTATAGAAACTTGGAAGAGGATTCTCATTAATTGAATTAAAAGAAGCAGGACTTAATGCATCATTTGCTAGAACTATTGGAATATCTGTTGATCATAGAAGAAGAAATCTAAATTAGGAAGAATTAAATAACAATGTTAAGAGATTAAAAGCATATTTATCAAAATTAGTTCTATTTCCAAGAGTCACAGGTAAACCTAAAAATGGTGTTGTGAAAGATTCAACAAATGAAGTTGTAGCATAACCAGTAGCATAAAATACTAATCCAGAGGTAATTTAAATTTGCTAAATTCAAAGGTAATCACATTCTAAAGAACTCCTAAACGTGAAAAAGCTACTGTTATTTCTAAAGAATTAAGAGCTAAGAATGTTTATAGAAGACTCAGATAAGAATGGTACAATGCTAAATTTGTTGGAGTTAAGGAAAAGAGAAAATAAGCAAAAGAAACTAAAAAGTGATACACATTTAGTATAATACAATATTATTTATTTACAATTTATTTATTAACTTATTAAGGAACATATAGAGAAATGTCTACTAAAAAATAGGTTCATGGAGGAAAAACATCAAGATCAAATAGCAAATAATCTGCATCTAACCCTACATTGGTGAGAAAACGTTTTTCATCATTATGTTCACCGTAAATTATTTGATCTAATATATGCTATAGCCCAAACAATCCAGGAAAATCGCCTTGTGTCTTTTGTTAGAAATTTAAAAATTAAAAGGTTGAATCCTATGCTTCTCTCCTTAATAAAGCCCTGTTTGCTAAATATTCTTCATCTCAAAACTATTATTATTCTAAGGACATTAATGATATAATTGATGAGGAATCTACACCAGCAGTTGTCTTTTATAGAGATTTAGAGTGTATAGTAGAAGAAGAAGAATATTTAAAGAGGTATGAATTTATTCATTAAAAGATCATATGCCAAAAAAGAAGCAACTTCTAAAATTAAAGCTTTGCTTGAATACTATAAATATCATAAAGATATACCTCGACTCTTTATGCAAAAAGTCTATATAACCATAAATAAGTTTCATGAAAAGAAGAGAAGAATAGAATATGCAAATATTAAAAGGAGATTAAATATCCCAGATGAAGATATAGTAATAATAATATATAAAATTCTAGTAAACATCAAAAAAAAAGGAAAAAAAGAAATAGAAGCATAGTGATGAAGATTTATCAGTGGGTTAGTTAAAACATTTACTAAAGGATTTGAAATTAGATACAAATTCCTATCTCTAAAAAAAAGTTGATATCTCAAGTAGTGTATAATTACGTGAATTCGTATAATAAATTGGATAAAAATATGATTATCTCGGACAAATTTCTGGTTTATTATCTATTGATTAAAGCAATAGTTTTCTCTTAAGATCACAAGATCTTTCAACCATAAACAAAAATTTAAAATAAAATTACCTTATCAATCATAAGCCTTAATAAAATTAAAATTCTAAAGTACAAATTTTAGATTCTAAAACTACTCAATAAATTAGTTATTAAGGAAGTCTTGATAAAATAAATTTTAATAGATTATAATTTAATAATCAAGGAGAAGTATCATCATTAAAAGCTGAAAACTCAATTAAAGTAGGAGAATAAACTAAAAGATCTCATCAAGAATAATCTCCTTTAAGAAATTCTTAATAATCTTAAACAATATAAAAAGTATACTCTTAAATTGAAGGCTTTGCTAATTTTGTGTAAAAATAGTAATAATCCTTATAAAAATAATAAAAACAAAACTATGGTTAAAAGTCAAATTCTTAAAGAAAAGTTAGTGCAAATTTCAATTCAACTGATTGTTAATTTAGATTACCAAGTAGATAAAGTTCTACATAAAAACAATCTGCTGAATTATAGTCTTATTAAGTGAATTTCTTGTAAATATATTCATAATAACTATTAATAGAAGAACCAGAGTAACTTCCTAATTATAAAAATATGATGATGATTATAAGAGTATCAAAAATGTATAAATATCAATTTATTTCAGTAACCATTAGCAACAGATAGAATTCAAAGATCTAGTGTTTATAATATAGGTGAAAAAAGTTAATAGAAATCTTCATCAAAAAATATGTAAGAATATCATATAAATTTAGATAAAAAATACCATAAAAATTCACTTAATATGCATTAGCAACGTTGAGAAATCTATAAGTAAAAAATTCTGAAGTGAAAAAAAAATAAACTGTCAATTCAAATAATATGCAGGCACCCACATTGAATTCTTAATTATTACATTATAGAACTAAATCCTAAGATGCCATAGGAACTTATAAAACATCTCCTCCAAAGTAGCCTATTAGATAAGATAATTCAAAAGATCCATTAAGAATTACAAATAACATATGTGTTTAAGCGTCATCAAAAAAGGGAGGTGGTGTATACAATATCAACTAAAATAATATAGTTAATATTTATATTGAAGATTTGAAATCTTCTGCCAAAATAAAGTAAGGTGGGTCGTAAACTGCTCGAATTAATAGTCCCTAAAAAAATAATCCTAAAGGTATTTTCGAAGTCTATAACACTTAAAGATCTAATTTAAGTCCTGAAAGCAAAAAAATGGTTTGAAATATATATGTTATTGCTATAAATTTTATAGATTATGAATATAATTCATAATTATTTAAATATGCTAAACTTATGAGGATTAAAAGCTGTTGAACATTTAGCCATAGTAACTGATTATCTAGAAATTGCATCAGTCATATAAAAGTTCTAAGAGTAGTTATTTAACTTACATCAATAAGATCTTTGAATGGAGTGCTTGAAATAGTTTACTTTGAGGATTCAGGTTTTAATGCTACTTAACCAAGAATACTTGATTCAATATAGTCATATTTTAATAAATGAGGAGCTAATTCAGCCATTCTATATCTAACCTATCACAATATTCAACTTTCATACCTCTTCTAAAGTATCATAAGGCAGAGCGCATCCACATTCCTCTGATAATGCTCTCAATATTTCCCAATCAGATTTTGCACCTGATGGAGGTAAAGCCACTAATTTTGTGGTTTATACTCTCCCTTCTGTTGACACCTTATTGTAAATGTAAGTAATGTTACATAAGTTCCATTCTTTTCTGTATATGTAGCTCCTGGTAATATAAGATCTGCATAATAAGCACCTTCATCACCATGACTACCTATATAGATTACATAAGCATCTTTAGGAATATCTTAAGCCTTTAAATTATTATCAACTCCTAAAAGAATCACAACCTTAGCAGGAACACTGCTCTTTCTTGCTGTGATACCTAATTCAAGAGCATTAATTCTTCCAACATCTTTATGCAAAAGATTGAAACCATTCCATCCCAATTATGAATTAATCACTGGAGAATTTTAAGCAATCTTTTTTAAAGCATTGTGAATAGCATTTCCATCAACTCTTTCTAAAACACCTGCTCCTGTTAAAATCATAGGTAATTTAGCATTTTTGAGTCTTGCTGCAAATGGATGAGTGCCATTAGCAATTTCATCAAGAATTGAGGCATTATTTCCTAAGTGAACATAATTATAAGTTAAGTCATTGGCTGGTCCAATAAGAAATACTTTTAAATTATTTTTTCTTGTAGCTCTTAAAATTCTTGAATTCAATAATGGTGATTCAATCTTTGGATTAGTACCTACTAATAAAAGAACATCAGCCTCTTCAACACCTGTAATTCTTGAATTTAATAAATAATTTGCTCTAAAATCAGCATCTAATTATGGTACACCATTTCCTCTTATTTCAAAATTATCACTATCAAATCTATTCAATAAATCTTTTAAGGCTACTATTGATTCACAATCAGCAAATTCTCCAATAACTCCTACAATTTCTTCTCCTTTAACTGATTATAATTTCTTAGCTGCTTACTATATGGCATCTGACCAATATAAATCAGTAAAATTGCCTTATGCATCTCTAACTAATGGTAATGTTAATCTTTATTTTTTTAATCCATCAAAAGCTTATCTTGATTTATCATTTAACCATTCTTCATTGACTTCTTCATGAATTCTAGGTAAAATTCTCATAATCTCAGCTCCTCTAGTGTCAATTTAAATAAGTGGTATAATGGTATCAAAAACATCAACAGAATCATAAGATTTTAATTCCCAAGGTCTAGATGTAAATGCATATGGTCCATTAGTTAAAGCACCAACTGGACAGATATCAGCTAGATTTCCTTATAATTCACTAGTGATCATTTTGTCAATGTATGTACCAATTTCAGTATTTCTTCCTCTTCCACTAGTTCCTAATTCAGTTACACCAGCATATTCATCAGAAAATCTAATACATCTTGTGCAATGAATGCATCTATTCATACTTGTAGCTACTAAAGGACCAAAATTCTTATCTTCCACAGCTCTCTTATATTCATTATGTCTGCTATCTCCATATCTAATAATATAATATTAAAAGTATACCCATATTATTCAGATATATCTTATAAATCACATTCTCCTCCTTAATCACAAATTGGACAATCTAATGGATGATTAGCTAACATAAATTCCATCACACCTCCTCTTGCTATTCTTGTTTTTTCACTTTTTGTGAGTATTCTCATTCCAGGTGCAACTTAGGCTGCACATGCTGCAACCTTTTATAATATTCATTTAATTTATACAGGTTTTGGTGATTTTTCAACCTCTACCAAACACATTCTGCAATTTCCTGCTACTGCTAATCTTTCATGATAACAAAATCTTGGAATAATTACACCTGCTGAATAACATGCTTAAAATATTGTTGCTGATGGATCAACCTATAATTATATATAAAATTATAATATAAACTTTATGAGGTACATCATCAATGAATATTTCTATGAGATTCTATTGTGTTGAAAATGCTGATAATTGTTTTCTCAATATTTGTTATCCTTTCTACAATGAGAATCTAATCATTTTTTTTTATATATCAAATAATATAATGTAAATATTAATTGTAAATTCTTGCTCATTTGAAATATTTAATCAAGATTGAAATTTAAATTAAAAAATATATCAAATGGCTGAAGAGAAAGAAATTGAAATAAAAGAAGAGAAAGAATAAACATAAGAAAATCACCATGATCACGATCATGATCACGATCACGATCACGATGGACATGATCACGATCATGATCATCAAGAAGGAGATGACAAAGACAAGAAGGCTAATAGAGGAGAAAAGAAATTCAAGAAATCTATGCTCAAATTAGGAATGAAGCCAGTGGCTGGAATTACAAGAGTGACAATTAAAAGAGGAAAACAATTCCTTCTTTATATTGATAACCCAGAAGTCTTAAAATCAGCAAATGTTGACAACTCCTATATTGTTTTTGGAGAAGCTAAAGTAAATGATCCATAAAGTCAAATTGGCAAGAAAGAAGCTGATAATTTGGCATCATAAGTGTAATAAAATAATTTCTAAAATGTAGTACCAAATAAGTTGAAGAAAAACAAGAATAATAATAATAAGCCTAAAATCCAGAATAAATTAGTGATGAAGGTATTCCACCTGAATCAATTAAAATGGTTATGGAACATTGTAAATGTGATAGAAGTAAAGCTGTGGAGGCACTTAGAAAATCTGATAATGACACTGTTTAAGCCATTCTCACCTTAACTGGATGATGATTTATTATGTTTAAGTAGATAAATATAGTATAAAAAATTATTATTAATAGAATTCAGGAATGTCTTTATAATAAACATTTCAGAACAATAAATTTATTAAGAATATAAAAATACATTCAATAATTATATATATTTTATTATTATGGCTGCAGTATCTCAAAAGATCTTCAATAATTAATTTGTAATACAAAAGAAGATCTCCTCCGGTTCATTCGGAGTTGTGTATTAGGGATATGACTTAAGATCATCAGATCATGTGGCTATTAAAGTAGAAAAGCAAGAAATAGATGATCTATTTAGTTTAGATAGAGAAGTAGAATCAAAAATATTCTATATTTAGATACAAATATTGAGAAATTTATAAGGATTGCCATAAGTTCCAAAATTGAAATGGGCTGGTAAAGATTAAGGAAACAATGTGATGGTAATTTAATTATTGGGAAGAGATTTAACACACTATTTAAGATAAAGGAAACGTTTTAGTTTGGCATGTGTTTTGGGTATTGCAGATTAAATGTTGACTATTCTTGAAGCTATTCATAGCAAGTACACTTTTAATTCAAGAAAGGGGTATTATTCATCGAGACTTAAAACCTGAAAACATATTGGCTGGTAAGGATAGAGAATAGAATATTATATATCTTGTGGATTATGGTATTGCTAAGTAATTTAAAGATAAAGATGACAAACATATGTAAATCAAATTATTTAAAAAATAATAGTCCTTTTAGAGAGAATAAACCATTTTTGGGAACTTCCAGATACGCAAGTATAGCAGCTCATAAAGGTTAAGAATTATCAAGGAAGGATGATTTAGAATCATTGGGATATATGTTAATGTAATTGAGATATTAATATAGAGATTTTTATTGAAAGGAAGTTTGCCCTGGTAGAACATAAGTTATAAAAATGAAGATGAGAAGGTAAAGATGGTAGGATTGATGAAAATGAGAATTACATCTTAAGAATTATGTTAAGATATACCAACTGAATTTATGAGATTTATAGATTTAGTTAAAAAAATGAGTTATCGTGAAAAACCAGATTATAGGTAATTGTAATATTGAATAAGTATTTAGATACTTTTAATAATTATTTAGAAGAGTATCTATATAATAATAGATTGAATATCGATTTGATTGGTATGATGAAAGCAATTTTGAAAAAAAGTCAGGATCAACATCTCCTAAGAAATAACAATCTATTAAAATTTTAGATTAATCATATTTGATTTAATAAATCTATTCGCCAAATAAAAAAAAGGGCAGTGAAGAATTCGATGACACTGGACCATCTAAAAGAGAATCTAATGGAAGACCATCTATTATTAATAATAATTCTAATAATCTACTTATGTGTGATAGTAGAATGAATCTTAAAAATAAAAGTGTTAGTTCATTTAATGAATCAAATTTATAATATAGTGATATATAACCTGATGTGAGTTGTCTTATAGCATATTAAAGAAATTTAAGATATGGATCATTTCATAATGAAGTTGAAATTCAAAAATAACCTGATAGAAGTACTTCAGCATAAGATAAAATAAAAGTTAAACATAAATTAAGTTTGGATGTAAAACCAAATTGTTATAAATCACTTGTTGAATTCTAATTAGGATTAATGAATAATCCTTCAATTATAGATTTTACAGTAAATAGTCAAAATTAATTAAATGAAGATGAAAGTCCATGTCTTGATGATAAATTTAATATACTAAAAGTCAGCTCAGTTGACAAGTAAATATAATTTTCTAAAATATTAGTTAATTTAAAAATCCAATCCAACTCTTTAGATTAAATTTAAAAGATAGGACAGGAATTAAAAATAATTGAATAAACTTTATATTATTATTTAATGAATCAACCCTCATAGTATGGTTATGCATATCCACCCAATGTGCTTCTCTTCCATGATCTATTGTAATGAGCTACAGCATCTAATAAATGAGTTGGTCCCCATACAACAACAGAAATATCCTATTAAATCATATAGTATAATTACTTTATCCCAGAAGTGTCTTGTAGCAACTCTAGTTAAATGACCAGCATCAAGAGCAGAGATTCTTCTAGCAAATTCACTTCTTGGAATTCTTCTTCCCCAATAGCTAAATCTTAATGAAATATTTATACAAAACTTATTAAGCAATTTCTCTTGATTATTTAGCAGAACTCTCTTAACTTAATAATTCATTAAACACTTTGGCTCTAGCTCTAAATACTTCAACTTAACCTACAGATGAAGCATAATCAGATAGAACCATTTGACTAACATATGCCATTTATGTTGCAAAGACTTCATTACCAATTAAGTAATTTCCAAAAAGACCAGTGTCTGAATATGCATAATAGACACATCTTTAATATGTAACATCAGGTAATCCACCGAGAAGTGAATGCATAGTATTATATTATCTACTTGGGGCATTCAAATGGAATCCTGTGTGTTTATCAGCTCTATAATCACCAATAAGTCTTTAGAAATAATGGAGAGCAAAAACATCAGGGTGATTCCATCCTGGGGTATCAAAGAAAACACCAACATTCAAATTAGTCAATTCATCATCTTTCATTAACTAAATTATTAATAAAATATTAATACCATAATAGATGGAGTAGCATATGGTTTTTCTGAATTTGGTACTTCAGTTGGAACTGATGTACCTAATCCTTTGAATGCCTTATTTACAGCAGATACCAAATCTTCATGATTAACATTACCAGCAGCAGAGACAACTACATTTGGTGCAACAAAATTTGCCTTGTGGAATTATCTAATTTATTCTTCTGTAACATTTGGAATATTATCTCTAATTCCTGTTGCAGGTTATCCCATATAATGATCTCTATAATTTGTATAATGAGCAGCTTCAGCAACTACTCTGTATTAATCATTAATGCTAACTGATTCTCTATAAATTCCTTCTCTTTCTGCTTCAATTTAAGCTGGTGAATATAATGAATTTGTCAAAATATCTCCTAAAAAAGTAACTGCTCTCTCAAGTTCTGATGGCAAGAAAGTGAGAGTATAAGTCTATAATTCTCTGCCCTATTTGACTTTTAATGATCCTCCTAAATAATCTATTTCTGCTTCAACTTATTCTCTTGATTTTGTTGTTGTACCCTAGAATATATATTTATTCCTACTCTTAAATTTAATTTTGAAATGAAATTTGATACTCCAGAACTTTCTAAGGTTTCAAATCTTGAACCTGCTTTTACAGCTACTGTAATTGAAGCTAGTGGGGTATTGTATAATTCAGACACTACTCTAAGACCATTATCTAATTAAGTCAAGGCTTAAGGTTCAACAAATATGTGTACATTAAGGTCTATCGTATTTCAAAGCTTCTGGAATTTCACCTGTTGGCAATTCTCCAAAGTCCACTAATGCTGACTTTGAAAATTGCAATTGGAAATTTCTCTCTACTTTAGTCTATTGAGCTTAAGTTGTGGGTGTCTTCTTTCCTGATACGCTTTCAGCTGTACAAAATTAAGCTAATTTGCGTAGAGAGTGCAATCTATTTCTTAAAAACATATCTGAATTTATTTATATTTAAAATAAATAAACCTTTAGACATAAAGTGATATATATTCTTTAATATTAAAATGTCTATTAATTTATTCTTATTACAGAAATGTTCTTTAGAAAATAGAATCAATTATTAGTTTAATAAAATGAATTTATTTGAATTTTTGAGAAACCCTTTGAAAATATAACCTTTTAAAATAAAATATCAAAACAATTAAATAAAACTACTCTAATAAATGAAATAGTATTTTCTCAATGATATACATTTCAATAATTCCAATTGTTTATGCTTGCTGGTTGGTCTGTGAAATTAAAATATCAAATACCTTTAATTAAACAACTATATTATGCTGCCAATAATATTATTAGATTAGGAATATCTAAGTATTCTGCTAATGAAAGCAATGGTAATACTTATTTCTCTTACATATCTTTGAATAGATCTTTAAATTATTCTGTAGCTTTAATACTAAATTTGATTTCATTATTACTTTTCTATATTATTGAAAATTTAATGTTCTTGCCCTTTTAAAGTTTCCTTAATTTAAATCATAAAAGCAACAATATTATTAAATTCTTCTTTTTTCATATCCAATTGTATAACATCCCCATTTTTGTTCAATTCATTAATCATTTTAAGAAATTATGATTATTAAAAAACAAGACTTTCTCCAATATCTTGGATTTCTTAGCAATTAGAGAATTAAACTCTAAATTAATTTTAATTCATAATATTTTATGTTTGATTCTCATCTTATTATATTCCTATTTGAACAGATTCATTTACTTATGACTATCTAAATCTCTTGAATTTATATTTTTCTACGAAGGAGGAAATTACATTTTTTATTTTTATTTATATATAGAGAAAATTGAAATCATTCTGATTTTTAAGTATATCCCTATATGTATTATAAATTATCTTGTGGAATTTAATATACATTTATCAATTTATACTAAAAGAGAAGTCTAAAGATGAGTCTACTTAAATATAGTAATTTTTAAAGGGGAAGAATAATAAATATATACATTAATCTTCTCTAAATATTTATCTAAAAATTTAATCTCAGGATTTATTAATAGAATATAAGGGAATCGTATATAATTAATTAAATTTGAATATGAAACACAGAAAAACTTTAATAGAAATTAAACAATTATAATTCTGAAATAATAATGTTAATAAAGATATAATGAAACAAGTAGAGATATATATTATAATTAAAATTTTTCCTTATAAAGTTGATGAATAAGAACTATCTATTAAATTAAAAATTTGATAGGTATTGAATAACAATTAAAAATCAACAATTAATTTTGAATTGCTTATTGTGGTTTTATTCAATATTATAGTTTTTGGCATTCAATACAAGAACATTAATCTTGTATATTTAAGTATATTTAATGAGGAGAATATAGATCAACTATAGAGGCTCTGGAATATTTCTGTTGAAACTCATTTTTTTTTAAACCATTATCTAGATCTTTAAGATTATTGTTGTAATTAACAAATTAATGGGGTATTCTAGGTTTAGTTTTTTAATGTATTTCATCAATTTCCTATTTTGTGTATGAATTTTTCTTTTTGCTTTTAGACATTTCTGTAATACTTCTAAAACCACTTTCATGAAGTACTAATGGAGAAATATAAGTGCTTTTTAAATTAATAATTTATTTTTTGTCTACTAAACTTGTAAAATCAGATATTTTTCTTCGAATTTAATTTGGACTTGCACAATTTGTTTGATTAAGTTTATTCATAGGACTGTCAAAACCACTTAAATATAATTATAATGCATACAATAATGAACTTATTCTAAATGATGGTTCTCTATTAATTATTTCACTACTTTCAGGTATTATAATAGAATGCTTTTATAAATTTATAGGATGTTCATCAATATCATATAACAAATCATTATGAATTTATAAAACAACTTCATTTAAAAAATCGAAAGGCAATTCTCCATACTCTTCATTTTTGAGTATTATTAATTAATTAATATTGTCACAAGAATGACTTTTTATTCCTATTTTTCTTTTATTTTTATTTCGTTCAGACATCATTCTAAAAAAACTTTTTTATTTGCTTATTTAACCAGATACTGTTTGATTTAAAGGGCTTTCATTTTTTTCTTAATCAGAATCTTAGATTAAATTTCTAAAAATATTAGTAATCTAAATTTTCTTTTTAGCCCTAATCAATTTNATATACATTTATCAATTTATACTAAAAGAGAAGTCTAAAGATGAGTCTACTTAAATATAGTAATTTTTAAAGGGGAAGAATAATAAATATATACATTAATCTTCTCTAAATATTTATCTAAAAATTTAATCTCAGGATTTATTAATAGAATATAAGGGAATCGTATATAATTAATTAAATTTGAATATGAAACACAGAAAAACTTTAATAGAAATTAAACAATTATAATTCTGAAATAATAATGTTAATAAAGATATAATGAAACAAGTAGAGATATATATTATAATTAAAATTTTTCCTTATAAAGTTGATGAATAAGAACTATCTATTAAATTAAAAATTTGATAGGTATTGAATAACAATTAAAAATCAACAATTAATTTTGAATTGCTTATTGTGGTTTTATTCAATATTATAGTTTTTGGCATTCAATACAAGAACATTAATCTTGTATATTTAAGTATATTTAATGAGGAGAATATAGATCAACTATAGAGGCTCTGGAATATTTCTGTTGAAACTCATTTTTTTTTAAACCATTATCTAGATCTTTAAGATTATTGTTGTAATTAACAAATTAATGGGGTATTCTAGGTTTAGTTTTTTAATGTATTTCATCAATTTCCTATTTTGTGTATGAATTTTTCTTTTTGCTTTTAGACATTTCTGTAATACTTCTAAAACCACTTTCATGAAGTACTAATGGAGAAATATAAGTGCTTTTTAAATTAATAATTTATTTTTTGTCTACTAAACTTGTAAAATCAGATATTTTTCTTCGAATTTAATTTGGACTTGCACAATTTGTTTGATTAAGTTTATTCATAGGACTGTCAAAACCACTTAAATATAATTATAATGCATACAATAATGAACTTATTCTAAATGATGGTTCTCTATTAATTATTTCACTACTTTCAGGTATTATAATAGAATGCTTTTATAAATTTATAGGATGTTCATCAATATCATATAACAAATCATTATGAATTTATAAAACAACTTCATTTAAAAAATCGAAAGGCAATTCTCCATACTCTTCATTTTTGAGTATTATTAATTAATTAATATTGTCACAAGAATGACTTTTTATTCCTATTTTTCTTTTATTTTTATTTCGTTCAGACATCATTCTAAAAAAACTTTTTTATTTGCTTATTTAACCAGATACTGTTTGATTTAAAGGGCTTTCATTTTTTTCTTAATCAGAATCTTAGATTAAATTTCTAAAAATATTAGTAATCTAAATTTTCTTTTTAGCCCTAATCAATTTATCATAGAGATTTGCTTTAACTAATAATACATTCTATTTAGTAAGCCTTGGTGAATTTAAATTATCTAAAAGTTAATCTGCATCATCATTAACTGACAGGAATAATCTTTTCAAATCTTTTGTAAGTTCCTTTGCCATCTTATTGCTTTTATTTAACAACTCTTAGATTTCTTTATTTCTTTATTCTATTATTTGTAATCTCTAATTAAAGAAACTGAATTCCTTATTCTTAATTGAATCTCTTCTTCCAGATCTCATACCCTTTTTAAGCAAGCTAATTTATTCTGCCTCTTTTTTGCTCCCATAAAGTTCTTAAAATTCAATATTAAGAATTGCTACAGGAAGTGAAAAGATGACTGTATTAGCCATTAATGCCATAATGCAAGTTATTATTATACCAATTATAGATTTTGGAACATAATCTCCATATCCAACAGTAGTCATTGTGACAATCCCTAACCAAACTGCATTTTGTATTTCTAAATCATTTTCTGTATGTTCTGAATAATATAATACTATAGCATAAGCAAGAGTTATTTATAAAAAAGCTATTATTAAGAAGTAAAACTAAGAAATGCAATCTGATACACTTTTATACAAAATATCTACTCCTTTTAAATATCTCTTTACTTTTAATATTCTAATAACTTTGAACATTTTCAGAATTCTGAATCCATTTAATGCAGTTTTACCATATATTAATGAAATTATTCCAAGAGGAGCAATTGATAATAAATCTCTAATTAATAATTAATCTACCTATAATATTCATATGCTAAAGTAAAAACTTCTTTATTGGATATCCATATACAGTATATGTTGACAATCGAAGTAAATATTCCAGAGCAAAAACAACAAAAATAAGGATTTCACAATTATTGCTTAAATCATTATAGATTTAATTACTAGTTCAAATTAATGCATTTACTTGTCAAATAGCGAATCACAAATTACTTAAACTTAAGATAGCAATATAGTAAAACAAATTATAAATTATATTAATCCTGCTAATCTACTTGATGAAGGATCTTCTAATAGGATAAATAATATTTTTCTAAATTAGTTCAACTGTTCTTTTAAATTCTTTTTTTCAAACCCAATTTCTTTTTGATGTACATACATATTATAAATTTAATCTAATAATATAAAAATTAATTGAAAATTCATCCTCAAAAATTTTAATCCTCTAGAATATGAAAAATGGATAGATATTATAAAAGAGAAATGAAAAGAGTATTTTATAAAATTAGGGAACAGATTTTGAAGATATATATCTTATTGAGCATTTTTAAAAAAACAAAAATTTTATAATTTGTAAATGATTTTCAGTTTCTAAAAATGTTGTAGAACAATAATAAAGTATAATTTCTGTATGAATTATAAATTTAGAATAAAATTAATAACTATTATGATATTTTGAATTTCAAATTTTTTACTTAAGGTAAATATTTAAAAATTCATTCAAATTATATTCCTTTAATTCTAAAAAATCTTGATCCTAAAAAACGCAATCGCAAATATCTTTATTCAAAAATCTTGTTAAGCATCTAACTTTTTTGGGGGCATCTTTATTATATTATTTGAATTTAGATCGATAAATCAAATATTGATAGAAGCAATTCAAACAAATCTTATGAGAACAAGTAGCTGTGAAGGATTTATTTCTAAATAATATATAATTATGCAATACACTAAATCACAAACATTTGTATGTTGCATATGATAAGGTTGATTTGATATTTTTTTAATTTATTTTTCAAATATGTTTTTGCATTTTTATGTGAAAAATTCTTAATATTGATTAACAAAGTTTTCATCAACCAAATTAATCATTCTTCCTAAATAAATATCTTCGAATATAGACAACTAAGGATTTTAATACTTTTCAATATAATATAAAAGTTGAGTTAAATGAAGAATATTTTAGTGATTGTTATTACTATAAACATCAGCAAATTCTGAAAATAATTTTGAATTAAGTTAACGAAATGCTATTTATAAGGTTGTTATATTTTTTACCTATCTGAATTTTATTCTATGCTAATTATTTATCATATTTATGCCAATTAGTGTGATTAAAAATGTTTAAGGAATTTTATTAGATCATAGTTTATAAGAATTTTTATGAATTGGGATTAGATTGGAATGTTTGAAGGTGGATTTAATCATTAAAAATATCACATAAGAAATTTAAAAAGAATGTTCTCATTATTCCTTATTATCTCTATTAATTCATTAAGGAAGTTATTAAAATATCACATTAAAAGTATATAGCTAATTTAAGTAGGGGTAAGTAATATTCTCTAATTCTATATTCTACTTTTCCAGAATATATGAAAGATAAAAATAATTCAAAGAGCTTTTAAGGTTCCTAATTCTCCAAATAAAAATCTTCAATAGATCTTATTATTTCATGATTTAAATATTCAAATTAAATTTTTTTCAATTTAATATCCTCTAATATACATTTACGATATATGTAAAAATTAATTGGTTTACTGTCTAATAGCCTATATAAATCGTAATACATTGATAGGTTATTTGAATTGGTTTCATATTTTAACTTTGCTGGTTAGGATTGAAGCTTAACTAAATCATAAAGGGAAGATTTATAGGCACTTATTTACCTAAATCTATTACATTAGTTTCCATTAAATTTGTTTTAATTAATAAATAAATAAATGGAAAAAGAAACTTCTTCTGTTAATACATCACATTAACAATAATAATAACAATAAAATAAGGAAGAGAGTAAATTAAAAAGTCTATTGTAGGGTAGCTATGATTACATTCATAGAGAGACAGGGAAAATGATTTAGAAAGTAAATTCGATATAAATATTTCGATTAGAAACTTTATAAGCGAGCATTCTAGCTTTTAGAAAAGTTTTATAATTAAAGAAAAGATCTTGAATTAGGAGAAATGGTTATGTTGAATCGTAGAATAATTAATTGCATTAACAAAATATTAAAATAAGGCTTACTCAAACCTGATATTGAATAAGATAGACCAGAGATTATGCTCCATATATTCCATAGAGGAAGTTAAGCTATATTTGAATTATACAAATACATTAATCTGTATATTTAAAAAGTAATACCAAATGAAATGAAGGGAATTGTGTAAGCCTATTAAATAAGAATATTAGTTTGGAAGATGTATCTCATTTAACAAGTTCTGATGAGGAAGACGAATAAAGAATTAAAGAACATGAAGTTACAGTACTATTTTACAAAATTAATGAATATGGTTTACCAAAAAAAGAGAAAAGTAAAAAATAAGTTAAGGAATTGAATCCTTATGAATAAGAGATTTCAGAATCTAGTAGAATTGCAAATATGGTTGGCAAAACTGTGAAACCTTTGAATATTTAATTTGAGTTAGATCAGTACTTTTATAATTTAATTGAACTTCAATTAATGGCTAATCTTATATTTAAGAAAGCCAATAAACCAAAGGTGGCTTATTACTATTTGGTTGAAGCTTAAAGAATTGCAAAATAAATATTAGATACTCCAAATCCTAATTTAGTAAATGCATGTGCTAGAGTCAAGATATATTTTGCAAATTATTTATATGAAATAAGTGAATATAAGGAATCACTTAGAAATGCTGAAGAAGCAATTGTAATTTTATGTGGAGAGATGAGAATAAGAATTAATTAAGAAAAATTTGTATAGAAGAAAAATAAATAAAGGTATATATAAGTGTTACTTATACCTAAATAGGGAGAGACGAAGAATGAAAAGATGTGTGATAACAACATTATCAGCATTAATTACAATGATGTGTAGTTATGAAGCAGAAAATAATTATCATAGGATTGTTGAAACTTTAACTACAGCCAGTTGGTTGGCTGAGAAATATATATAAGGAATTGATGAATTTAAAAAACATATAGTTAAATTGGCTAGTGAAGGTAAACATAGATTGGAATAAAATCTAAAGGATTTAGCAGATTTGAGTTATATTGCTGAATCTATATTGGATTCAGAATTACATAAGATTAGAAAGACTTAAAGAGATTAAAGAGAATAATCAGAATCTGATTATTTAAAAAAATTCAATAGTGATATGTTCAATCTATTTTAAGTTAAGTCATTAAATGAATAATTATATTTTAAAACATAAGTAAGAGAAAAATAAAAAAAATAATAATAATTTGATAATAAAATTATTGAATAATCATAACCTCATGGAACTGATGCTTCAATTAATATATTTGATAGTGATTCAAATAGTAAAGATAGTTTTTTTGAAGGTAGTTTTTTTGCACCATCTATTGATAATTTATAATTTGATTCAAAATTATTTGAAGAAAAAAGACCATAATCAGTTACCAGAAGACCAAATAATAGAAAAATATTTAAACCAAACAGATAAAAAGGTAAATCTGTAGGTTTAATTAAAATTGGATTAGAAAGACCATAAGATTATAAATCAAGGATATTGACTACTACTCAATATTTTAATGAATATTAGAAACCAAAAGTATAAGAAGAGAAGAATGTAAGCAATACAGGAGCTTTATTAAAAAGACAATTAGAAAATTTAGAATATAGAGAACATCCAGATAGAGATGAACATCACAAATAAGATTTGGATGTATATGTTAATAAAATGGTAAATGGAAAAATTCAATCTAATGAGATTAGAGATTATAATGAGTAAAATAAATGTATATTTTAGTATATTAGGATAATTATTCAGTTTAAGAAAGTAAGAGGATTTTGATAAAAAAGAATTTCAATTTGGAAGAAGAATGTTAAATCTTAAAGCTAAAGAAGAGATTATGTTTTATAAAGAATCCTTTAAGACTCCTCCTGTAAAAGTTGAGATAGATACAAAAGTTAAAGATCAAGCACATATTATAGATGGTAAAATTACTGCTGAGAAAGAATTAAAGGACTTAAAAAGAAGAAAGATAGATAAAATGGTTGCTGGTAAAAAAATAGTTCAAACTAATGTGAATATTGATTTAAAGGATCCAGAAGAAACTAATTATTTAAAAAAAGTATTAGAGAAAAGTAAAAAGAAGAAACTAAAAGATTTAATATATAAACATAGAGAATCATTAGGATTAGCTAAATTCTTTACTAATTAGTTAAGAGAAATGAGAGAAAAGGAAAGAATTTTAAAACTTAAATCAGCTTTGGAAAGAGAAATATCAGTAGATGTGGCTGATAATCAAAGCCAATAATAATAGTAAATAAAATAAAAAAAGAATGTTAAAATAGTTGTACAATAAATAGATAAATAATAATAAACATAATAAGTTTCTTTATAACCTTCTTAGTTACAACAATCTCAAGCTGGAACAGAAGATCCTAAAATTTAAGGATAAATAAACTTAATTTAATAGAAATCAAATTCATAAACAACATTACCTAAAACTATACTTAAAAGACCTAAAGAAATTTCAAGTGTAAAAGAAAGTCCTTAAGAAAGTTAAACTTTGATTTCTATGGATGTTTAAGGAACTGATTTGATTTTAAGATAAGAAAAATTATAGAAAGCAAAAAGAGTTGTAAAAGATCAGATTGATAAATAATAGAAAAAGTCTCATTAAGTTATTGGAATGATAATAGATGCAGTTGAAAGGAAAATGGATATTGAAAATAAAGAATTGAAAAAAATGCTTTTTAAATAGAAAGGAGGATCAAAATAATATGTTGATGATGATGAAAGAACTTATTTAAAATTTATGCCAAAATTTGCAGATATGAGTAGATCAACATATTTAATGTATATAAAAAAAGAATTAGCAGATAAATAAATTATTACTTTAGAAGATGTTGTTAGAGCTAATATGAATAGAAAAAACTAATTAGCAGATATGGCAGCATAAATGTTTAAAGATATTGGTTAGCATAGTTGATTTATATAATAATTATTTTTAATAAAATAATACATAGTCATACGCAATATATAATGACGAAGTATCTTTGTTCGTATATTAATTCAGCATTTCTAAATAACATAAGATAATTATTTGAATTGAATGACATCACAAGCAGTACTATTGACTATTGGATTTATGTTGGTTTTAGGAGCAGCTACATTCATGAATTATGAAAGCAATGTTAGCACAATAGATCATGGATTTACAGCTGATTTTGCATCTTTTATCAAATCTTTTGATACAAAATATGATTTCATTAGATCAGATATCACATGGTCAACATATGGGTATTTTAATAATCTCTAACTATTTTAAGTGGTGCTGAAACTAGACCTACTACTGCTCCTTCTAAATATCCAATTGTTTTTATTCATGGAAATTCAGATATTGGTGCAGGAAATGGTGGAACTGTTGGATGGTAGACAGGATTCACTACACTTATTGAATATTTATAAAATTATGGTGGATATACTAAAGCTGATTTGTATGTAACAACTTGGGGTAAGTTTTATAATAATAATTTTTTAGGCCCTGCAAATCCTAATTTAGCCTCCTAAAATGGTCATAGTGAGAAATATGTAATGACAACTAGAAGATTTATTGAAGGAGTTCTTGCATATACAAAAGCTAGTAAGGTTATTGTGATTGGTCATTCAATGGGAGTCACTTTAGCTAGAGCTGCTATTATTGGTGGAACATATTCAGAATCTATGCTTAGTAAATTTACTGTTGGAGATCCTATTACTAATTCTATTGCAGCATTCTTTGGATTAGCTGGAGCCAACTATGGATTAGTAGATTGTACTTATGCAACAGGATTACCAACTTGTAGTACATACAATGGATTCTCACCATCATCTCAAATGTTGACTGCTTTGAATTCTAAAACTCATAGAGAAGGTGCAAAAGTTTATTCCTTCTGGTCTCCAAATGATGATATCATTAAATACAACTGTATTGTTAATCAAAAAAATACTTGCATTGTCCCTGGAAGTGATGAATCAGTAAAATTGTTATATTAAATATTAGTATCAATAAAGTGGATATACTCATTTTGATGTTAGAGATAAATTTGGAGCAGACATACTACGTCTTCTTTAGAAATTATGATGATATATTATATATATAAATCATATTAATATCATATTAATAAAGTTAATTATTAATTTTAAATTATAAATAATAATAAGAATTAAATAATCTACATAAAAAGTCTTATATATGTAAATATAATAATATTATTGGTATTAATATTTATTAATATCTATCTCTATAAAAAAATAATAGTAAATACTTATTTCATTTCAAATTAATGAAAATATTTATTTTAGTATTATAAATTAACAAATTAAATCAATTATCATCTAATCGAAGAATAATTTTTCTACAAATTGGACAATTTTTTTAAACATTTATCCATGATTCTAAGCATTATTGATGAAATTAATGTTAACAAGGAGTTACCATAATTTAGCATATCAATGATTTAACTAAGGATCTATCATCTGTATCAGTAGGGTTTAAATAAAGAGGATTCAAGCAAATTGAACATTCCATTTCATTATTAACTTTTACTTTTTATAAAAATTAAAATTTTTTAGGTTTTAAACATTTTGGAATTAAACATCTTGAACCGTATTTGCTTTGCAATATGAGAAGTAATAAAGAAAAAAGATATATAGCTATAAATTCTCCAACAAATAAGTAATCTGGTTTCAAGCCCATTACATTAACTGGACAACTTCTTAAGTATACCTATGATTAAGTATAAGTTTACATAAAAAAAAAACTTAGATGATAATACTCCAAAAATATAAACTTTATTTAACTTATATTTACCTCCTAATCTTAAATTATGAATAATTTATGGATATAGAATAAATGCTTAAGTGAGCATGTAATAAAAGGAATATCGAAATATACTAAATACTATCCTATTCACAATCATAAAAATCCCTAATATATATAATTATTTAAATACATATAGTTAAATACGTAATAACCAATTTTTTTTTATATTCTCTTCTCTCTACAAAAGCATTCTACAATCTTTACGACCAAACAAATCCAAAAATGGCATAATTCTTGAATAATTGTAAAAATTAAATAAAGGTAGGCAAAATAAATAAATAGTAATTTTACTTAAATATAAATTTATATTTATACAAAATTTTGGAAAAGTACTTCGACAAAAAAATAGAATAAGCTCATTCCTTGAAAAATAGATAAAAATAATGTTAATCTAGACATCTAAATAAATAAATGTTTAAAATTTACCTATTCAGCTTCTATCAATATTTATTTTAATTAATCTAGTAATTCTTTAGAGAGTAAATATTATACTCCTAATATCATTGTTGCCATCATGCAAAAGATAAGATTATTGATAAAAGAGAAATCTTAAACTCTTTTTACATTAAAACTCATATCTATTAAACAATGGAAAAACATTTGATTAGATTTTAAATCAACATCTATTTCAAGCTGATTAAGATCTAGATTTTCTAAATTCTAATTTAATTTGACTATGTATGTGCCATTACAGAAAGATTCAATCCAAGGTTATGATCTTGAATAACTTCCTTCTAATAATAATTTAGCTTCTCCAATCCAGGCTCTAAATAATAGATTAAAAGTATTACTATGAACTTTCAGAATAATTGGTAAGTAGAAATTCACCATATACATGTTTATCTTCATAATATTTCGGATTTAGAGCAACAAATTAAAGTGAATTACCTACAAATTTTACCGATATCATTCCAGAATCTAAGGTTAAATAATTAAATTAGTAAATTGATGGATTATTTGACCACCATTTGCCCGAAAATAATTCATTATTTAAGAACTAAATCATATTATCAGAAGAATTCACATTCTAAAGGCATACTTAAGGTAAATATAAAAGCAAGAAGTAAAGCGATATAAATTTCTACAATAATTCCATATTAATATTTAAAAAATTAATTAAATAAAAATGAGAATTAATATATAAATATATAGCAAATGAATTAGATATCAATATTTTTGATAAAGCAATACATAGGCTGATCTATCAGATAATTATTTTCCATTAATTTTTGATACAGTTTCATCATCAAATAAATACCAATTATCATATCTTTCAGCATAGGCCTTGTAATGTCCACCATTAATCTAACCCATATGAGTTATAAGTGCTTTAAGTTTATATTTAGTTTGCAACCCTTTAGAACAAAATCTATAATAAATTTAATTGTTACTCTTAAATATCTAATTTTTCAGGGTAAGAAATAGAATCATTAATTTTTTAAGATGTTGGAAAAGTAGTAAATCTTTTAAATTAAATTATTAAATATTGAGGAGTCTAACTTATAAACATCTTTCTTTTAACTGATTTATTGGTTTTTTTACACTTGTCACATTTCCAAGTATCATTAATAACTTCTTCTCTATAATATGATTTTAGACAGTCTATCAATTCAATTCCAGTATATGATTTACTTAAAATTTTATAATATATTACCTAATTGGTAAAGACAAATCCCATATAGGATCATATCCTTCACAAACTTAATTACATGATTTACAAAAGGATTAACTTGTCGATTAACCTGCAAAAATGACATCAATAATATCTTAATTTTTGGATGTATAATCACTCCAAGCTTATTCAGCTGAATTGAATTCTTATTTATTTTTGTATTTGCCAACAAGTTCTTCTTATATTTTACCCAAAAAGAACAAAAGAAATTCATGACTATCTTATTATTAATTAAATTGGAATTTTCCAGAACAAGTTTCCCAAACACTTTAGGCTGCAATTGCAGAAAAAGATCCTGTTCTTTTAATCTAAATAAATTAATTTAAAACTAAATATAATACCGTTCTTAATAACTCTTAATATGCAGTTAAATATTTTTATCCGTATTTTGGTTGAATAGCTAAAATACCCTCAGAAAGAGAATCAATACTCAAAAGAACTTATAAGGCTGAATTTAAATAGCAATAATATCTTGGATTTCTCAATCCAATAATAGGTAATTAACCTGAAGAAATAGATGGTCTTTTTTATTCTTAATATCCTTTTCTATAATTTTAAGCACTATCATTTCTTGGTTGTGGCTCTATAATTTATGATGTTTGTCTATCAACTGATTTTGGGGTTGTCATAACTGATACAGTTTAATTCATTGGTTTGTATTGAATAAATCTTGAATTTGTTTGTGTTTATATCATGGATTATGGTTGTTTTGGAGGCTTAGAATAAGTATTAGAAAGACTAGTAGGTTAAGCTTAAGATTCTCGTTTAGGAGGAGGCATAATTTTGACTTCTGGACCTCCACCATACATTTGCATTACGAAGTTCCAAGCAGGTTCATTTAAGACCACATAGTCTTTATCTTATTGTAAACCACTTCTTATTTATTGATTGGGTCCTAGTAGGTTTTAGTTGTTTATTGATCTAATTTCAGTTTTTTTTCCTTTTAGATGATTGGTATAATTAACTGCCCATTTAAATTCGAGTGCAAACTACTATTGCATATTTTCTTTATTTATCAACTAGGTAATGTAATCATGTTCACATTCAACACTAAGAACTTAGGATTTAAATACCTTTTTTCATATAAACCACGATTACGCAAGTCGTTAATATTTTATATTTGCTTCAGCATTTCCTAATTTGAATTAATTTTAATAAAAACTTAGTCAATAGGTTTTGTAGGGGCAGGTGGTGGAACATACACTTTTTAGGATTCCTCTTCCTTCTTAATAGAATGTGTGTCGGAATTCGTGGATGGCTCCTCTGGCTTGGCACTCTTCCTAAAATTCCAAAAAACTACTTCGATTTCTTCTTTTTTGAACCGCAGCAGAACATTATAATATATAATAATATTTATTTATATTTATAAAATCCTCTAACTAATTCACCTTCCAATCTATTGTTTCATCAATTATTAATGAAATTTATCAATTTTAAATCAAAGAATAAAACTTGGTTTTCTTTTTTTTGCTTGACTTTTTAATCAATCACCTTCAAATACTTTAAATAGATAAACATCTAACAAATTGTATTAATATTTAAATGATGTAGTTATTAAATTTAAGTAATTTTATCTCAATTTCTATTATAAAATAGAAGTATCCAATTCATTATATAAGATTCTTATTAATTCTTATGTAAGAATAAAAGATTACAATTAAATATATTGTATATTCTTATATTATCTTTGAGAATATAAAAGAAGGAATAAACTAAAAATAAAATTAAGAATATATCAACTCATATGAATCATTAAAAATCATACTATCGTCTTAATAGATTGTTATTTTATTTTGCAATTCTTAAATAATAAATGATGAATATATTAATCAATTTTTAAGTTTAAGTTTAAATTAAATATACTCTAATTTGAATATATATTCTTAACCTATTTATATTGATAATAATAAATAAAATCTAATACTTTTTTATATCTTCATTTCTAGATGTTTTTTAATAAATTTCTTAATTCAATATTTTTGATATATTTCAAAATTGATTTGTTTTTATATTTTTACTAAATAATTAAATATTCATTAACTAAATAGTTTTGATTTTTAGTAATTTTTTAATATAAGATGTAATGTAATATGACAAAAAATCTTTAAGAATAAATTCTAAGTGATTTGATAAATGAATTGATCAAATAGTTAAGTATAATAATTTTAATTAAAAATAAATGAGTACATTGGCAATTTCAAGATGCCCAATAGTTGTTCGTCATGATTTTCCAGATGAAATGGCGAATTATATTGATGAAAAGATGGATGAAGGACAATATAAAAAAAGGTTTCGATATGATCGTCCTGACAAGGTATGATCATATATAAGGGTTACTAGAAAAAAAATAAACAAACAAAATCGATTCTTAATATGAATTCACAAGAGATCTTTCAAAAAATAGTAATGGGAAAGAAAGAACCAAAAGAAGAAAGGTTTCGTATCAAACCGAAATAAAAAATTAATACAACTGCGTTGCATGCAGCACTATTAAAAGTGAAGAAATAAAAAGAAGAGCTTGATATTTGTTTAGCTGTATTATAGAATTGTATTATTAGATAGCAGATAAAGCTAAATAATGTGTAAATGAGAATGATATTTGTATGTTAGCAAATGAAGGAGCAGTTCGATTTATAATGTCTTAAAATCTAGATATAGATGAAGCTGCATTATTAAGGACTAAGAAAGGGAACACTTTCCATCCTAAACCAAAGAAATCATAGTCTGTAAAATAAGTAGTAATGGATGAACCAGAGAATTTATTATCTGTAGAAGGTAGATCATACAATATGGCTGTTTCAACATCACTTTGTAAACATAGACCAACTTCTGCATTTTCAACTATGAGACCTGTTTCTTCAACTAAAAATTATTCTGAAAAAGGAATATCAGAACATTTACTTTAATAATATGCTGATTTCAGAAATTAACTATTTGAGAAATTAGTAGATAATAATGAAAATTAAAATGAAGAAGTATAAATAAATGTTGGATATCCATAATATTTAACACCTGCTGTAGGTATGAAGGGTAGTAGGGTTCCTCCTGGATTTCTACCAAAAGGATTAAAACGAATTCATAGTGCAGCTGCTACTCAAAATATAGAATTCAGACCTTTCATAAATCCAGGAGAAATGTTATTTAATGAATAATAGCATATATCTGCTAAGAGACCATAAACAGCTATGATTAGTAAGATTTAATCAACAAGTAGATTGAATGATCATTTGAAGGTGATAGAAGAAGTTAGACATTAAGAAGATGTAAGAATTTTTGATGTATGAATATATTAGTTGAGTCAATTAAAAATGTCACTAGATTAATCATTTAGAGAATAATAACAAACTTTGAATGTTACAGGTAAAAAAAGAATCTAAAGTGCCTATCCAAAAACTAGAATTTGATTATAATAAATATTTAGAATGATTTAAAAACCATTTCTTTATGTTACAAATCCTGAGACATTCATAATATACAAATATCAATATTAAGATGGAAAATATAAAAAGATTGGACCACATATTCCATAAGAATATGAATTAATGAATGTTAGATAATAATAATAATATCGATAATGGAAAGCCTTAAAATTTATGATGTGGAGTATATTCAATAAAGATAAGATTTAAAATCCTATTGATTTTCGAATAATTCTATGCAGATTAATGGATCTAAATACAAATGTACTCTTGGCTATTGTTAGTACTTTTGGATTGAGATATTTCCTTCTAAAATTACAATCTCCATTTATGGATTATTATTTTGAAGATAGACTAATAACATTTCCAAAACTAAAAAAGTAATCAATTGCTATATTTTATAGAGGTTTGGCTTATTCTTACTTTGTTTTTGCATTGTATTTTGGAGTCAAAAGTGTAATCAATTAGGAACATATATTTGATTTAAGTTTAGAGTATGAGTGATTATTATTATAACATTTCTGTTAAATGAGAGTTGCAGTTGCGCCATTATAAATCTCAAGATCATTGCCTCCAGTTCCATTGCCAGTAATGGCAACACCAGTAATGGTTGATAGAGGTACTTAATCTATAGATCTTTCTTAGTCGTTAACATACATCATTCATAAGTATTTCACACAGATTCACCATTAAAATAATAAAGTGAGCAAAAATTGAAATAATTGGAATCAAGAGTGTAAAATCTAGAAACTTAATCTCCAAATAAGGGTAAAGTGGAAAAGTTACTTGAAGAAAATGAAAAATTATTGCAGTTGGTTCGTGAGAAGACTGAACATGCTTCAAAATATAAAGGAGAATTACTTACTGCCAAAAAGGAAATCACTAAGTATACTTATTATCTATCTTATAAGGTTAAAGAAAGTCCTTGATTTGAAGGAAGAAGCATTAACGGATATGAGATTAAAAAGTTAAAGTAGAAGTGTATCAAGGGCTAGTGAAAGAAAGGCTGAATAGATTATGTAAGAGAAACAACTTCTAGAATAACAATATGCACGTGAAAAACAATTTATGCAAAATCAAATAAATTAGCTAAAAGAAGTCATAGAATCATAATCCTCTTAAAACCAATCTCTCTAAAATATAGATTATCAATAGTAATATTTATTTAACCCTAACCAATAAATTGAGTTATTTGGTCAATAACCATCGTAATCAGGTTAAATTATAAAAGGTAGTTAAAAAAGTATAAAGAAGCCATAATCAACTAATTAAATCTAATATGAAGTTCCTGATTATACTAATTCTTAATTAAGGAAGCCTTAAGCTTAAGATCCTCTTAGAAAACTATCTTCAGCATTTTAGGATAAGGATTAAAAATAAATATCCCCTATAAGAAATGATTAAGCCTTAGATCAGCTTTAAGGATCAGCTTAACATTCTAAGCGTTAATCATATATGCAATCAGACTATCAAAGATAAAACATCATACCAAATGAAGTAGAAGGAAATACTTAAGATTAAATAGCTATTAGAAAAGATCAATAAAGACAATAATCTTATAAATAAACTGAGTAAGTTAAAAGAAAATCTATATCTCCACAATATGAACAATACTAATAATAATAATAATAATAATAATAATAATAAGATTAACTTAATTCAGTCAGATAAAATTAAAGATAATAGTCATATAAATAAGGGGATGTATAACGAAAATCAATTTCTCCTACTTAAGAGGAGCCTATCATTGAATTAAGAGGAGGTATTCTTGAAGAACATTAAAGATAACCATCATATGTATAAAATGTTCCAGTATCAGAATAATAACGAAATACTCATAGAAAATAGTCTAGTACTGTGGAATAGTTTTAAATTTAAATCAACTAATTGAATGATGAATTATTATAGGCTAGACATTTAGAAGATGAATTGAAATCATAAATCAACTCATTAAATTAATAACTTTAGGAACATAAATTAATGGTTGATAATTTGTAATAAGATAAGAAAAAATAATAAGAATAGATTTCTAAATATAAATAGGATCTATAAAATTAAAATTAAGAATTACAAAAATAATTATCAAATAATAAAGATTTATAATTATAACTTCAAAAGTTATAACGTAATGTTGAAACTTAAAATAAATTGTAAGATCAAAAGCTTTAAGAAAATTTACGAAATCAATAATTTTTAGAAAAATAATTACAAGAATCTCATTAAATAATAGAGAAGCTTGAATAAGAAAATAAAAGTATTACTCATAATTTTGAATAAGAGAAAGATGATTTAATAAAAGAGTATGAAGATTAATTAGAATAAAAGTAATAGGAACTTATAGAATTAAATTAGTCTGCTCTTTTGGAAAAAACATCTAAAGTTGAATTTGAAATTTAATTAAATTAACTTAAATAAAAAGAAGCTAATTTCAATTCTGAAATTGATAAAATACGCAAATAGAAGGATTTAATGAAAGCATAATTGGAAGAAACTCAAAAAAGTCTTAATTAAGCTAAACTTTAGATTAGTCAAATAGAATCAGAACATACAGCATAAGTTGAATTAAGAGAACAATTAGAAAATAATTATGCTATTTTATAAAAGGAATATGGTGAATTTAAAGAAAATTCAATATCTTAATTTAATAGCAAAATGAATAGTTATTAATAAAAAGCTTAATTGGAGTATGACAAATTAAAAAAATAGAGTTTATAATAATAATCAGAATTAGAGAAATTATATCTAGAAAAATCAGAATTAGAATAGGAATTGAATAATACACAATAGGATTTGGGACATTAATATTAAGAAGTAACCTAATAGTTATAAACTGCAAAATAAACAATAAATGAATAAAAAAAGTAAATAAAGTAATTAGGATAATAGAATTAATAATTAAGTCAGGATCATTAAGAATTATCAGTACATTATTAATAATAAGAAAATGAATTAAATTAAATTAAATAGGAATTATAAACTCAATAAGATCAATGCTAATCACTTCGATTTGATATTTCTAGAATTTAGATGGATAAGGCATAATTAGAATCAGCTAATAAATAATAAAGATAGATGGATTAATTGATGTTAGAGAATGATTCTATTTTACATACAAATGAACAATTATAAACTGATCGTAATTAATTAGCTGATACTCTTTAATAAAAAGAGAGTGAAATTGGAAGACAGAAAAAAAAAATAGATTAATTAAAATAATTAAATTAATAAAATGTAGAATAAATTAAGAAATTACAATAAGAATTATCAGAAAAAGAAATAGTAGCTGAAAAATGTTAAAGTGAATTCAATAATTTTTAAAGAGAACTTTAGATATTGAGAAAGGAGAATGAGAGATTGTCAGCAGATACTTAAAAATATGTAGAATAACTTGAATAAGAGAAAATTAATTCAGGAAAGAAACTTGATCATTTGTAATCTTAATTGTAGTAATAAATTTTATAGAGAGATTAAGAATATGAAGATTTGGATAAATCAAGTAGATCAGCCTTTGTTGAATTATAATCTAGAAAGTAAGAAGCTGCTTAATAATAAAGAAGATTAGAATAATAGAATGATCTTATTAAATAATTGAGTGAATAATTAGAGAAGGTTTCATTATAACATAAAAATTTATTAAATGATTCATAATTGAATAAATAATAACATGAATAATAACAATAAGAATTTGAATTTACTATCAAAGATTTATAAGCTAATCTATAAAAACAATAATATGTTTAGGATGAATTATAAAAAGAAATTCAAAAATAAAAATTATAAGAAGCCAAATAAAAAGAAGCTTATGAAGTGGAAAAAGAAAAAATGAATTAAATGATGTTAAAGTTGGAAGAAAAGTTGGAATAACACAAAACTGATACAGCAGCTGATTTATAAGAATATGAAATATTTAAATAGACAAATTCATAATTAAATGGAGAATTAGAAAGAGTTAGAGGAGAAAATGCTGATTTACATGAAATAGTTATATAACTTTAAAAAGAAAATGTTTCATTAAGAGATCATCATTAATAAATGATTTCACAAATTGAAGAAAATCATCAGGCAACTGAAAGGTTGAGAACTCTATGTTAATAATATGAATAAGAAGTCATTTTGTTAAGGAGATAGGTAAATATTCTTATATTTATATCTTTTAGCCTGATTATGGACAATATGAATAACCAAAGGCAGGTTTTATTAAAACAAAGAATAGTAAGAGAATAGAGGACATGGAGAGAGAAAACATAATTTAATAAAAAGAGATTTAAAGACTAAAATCAGTAATTGATGAAATCTAGAATAATTAAAATTATAATTCAACACCTACTCCAGAAAGGAAATAATTAAATTAGTAGTAAAGTTTATCTTAAAAAAAACATTTGTTTGAATAAAAGCCTAAATCAATTGATAATACTATAAGGAAATAATTATAATGAAATACTATGCATTTTTATATATTTAAAATTAAATTACTTTCTATTGATTTAGATAATTGCTGTAAATTTTCAGTTGAAAAATTATATTCTTTTTGGATAATCTAATTAATTTGTATTTTTGATACCTTCTTACTAGATGTTGATTTTATATTTGATTTAGAATATATATTAAGGCTTTTTATATAAAACAAAGAAAATTAATATATCATCCACTTCTAATAATATTTACTATTAGCTTTATTTAAGAATTTCCTTAGCTAAATTTAGCAATAAATTTGTTTCTAAGAGATTAGTAATATTTATATAAGTTATCAAATATTAGAATAATTGCCAAAACTTAATTTCAAATTTGATAGTTATATTTAAATAATAAATATTTATGGATAAAGTTAATGCTGAGGAAGAGGGATTAATTAATAGAAAGTAAAATAAAGAGTTTTCTGCCTGTAAAAATTACATTCCAGTTATTGTTGAACCATACCCTTAAACAAAATTGAAAAAGATTGATGATAATAAGTAATCATGATTGAAATTTGAATTAAGATGGTTGTTTAATAAGGATTCTACTTTATATCCTGTAATGTATAAAATTCATGAGACTTTAAACGGAGCTAAAAACATGTACTTTTATGTAAAAAGGCAAAATGGACGATATGCATTGCTCAAACATGGTATTGTTATTTTTTGATAAATTTAGAAAATAAGTTATAGTTAGTTTTCAAAAAGTATAAATCAAATGATGGATTTTTGCATGTTTATTATCACAATGATATGATCAATAGAAGCAAATTATTAGATTATTGCTTTTATTTTGCTTAGATTGTAATTGCATTTTATTTGGTCTTATTTATATATGGATATTTAAAGATGCATGAATACATATGATTTATATTTAAATTAGTATATATAACAAACTACGATATTGATTCCTCAATAATTATCTTTTAAACTTTTATTTCTCTTAATACATAACTTGATTTGATTGGATTTAAATAAAATAAATGAATCAATTTATTATCAAAATTATGAGAATGTTATATTTTTATTTAAGATAGGATTTAATAAAATTTAAATATGTTATTAGTTGTAATAACTTATGATATTAAAAATAAGGATTCAAAAGAAAGTATTGTTGTATTCCTAAGTTTGGATCTATTTTTAATTTTACATGGTTTAATATTGCTATAAAAATAGATATGAAATTATGAATTGATTCTTGATTTATTAAATCTTATTAACTTAAATAAATTTAATGATCTCAAATTAAAAATATTATATATTATATAATCTACTTGATTAAAATTTATATAGTAAAATTCAAAGAAGCATAAATCAATATAAGGCACCAAATATTTGAATTATTCCCAATATTGCTCCTGCCACTCCAAAAAATAATACTGTTCCATTTATTATTTCTATATATAACTTTTATCTCCCAAACACTTTCTTATATAAATAATATGGCATCACAAATCCCAAATATACAGATGGGATACATCCAAGTAAGGAGATTATTGTACTAAAATTAGTTAAATAATATCCACCAAACTAATTAATTTATTGATATATAATACCACACATCCTGATATATATAAAATACGAATTCCAAATTTATACCATATACTCAAACTAGGTTTAACATCTGATTTCTTAAAGTCAAATGGTAATTCTTCCATCAATCTAATACAAACAACATTTTATAATAAGATTGTTTAAATCATTGATAAAACATACATCATTTACAATGCATAAAAAGCATTTTGAATACCTAATCCTATATCTGAAACCACATTCAACAAATTTGATGTTATTAATTCTTATGTAGATTCTCCAAATGCCAAATATCCACATACTCCAAATAATGTATAAATTACACAGCAAATTAACATAGATGATGCTAAATTCTTTCTAAATCTTTCTGGATGTTTCATTTCTTCTCTAATTTCTGTAATTATACCATTAATATCATATGAATAAAGTGTAACACCAAAAAAGAAGGGAAGTTCACTGAACTTAATTCCATAATATACAGTAGGATTATTCTCTGTTGATCCAGAATTCTTTATTTAATATAGACAAACACAAGAAAAGAAGTACATTACAATGAACACCAAATAAGAACCTATATTTGTTGTTTATTTTAGAGTTTCCATTCTTGTTATAAAAGAAAATACCATTATGAAAGATATTGTACCAATTGCTAGATAAAATGTATTCAAAGGGTTATCAGAAAAATTAGGTATTATCTAATCAAATGTTTACTTACAGAATATTAATAAACTCAAAGCTTAACCATAAAATAATAGAATCGTCATTATTTTAGATATGATAACCAAAACTCTACCAGTTGGATCTATGACTAACATTACACCCATCATATTCATTTTTTCGAATTTAATACTCTTTTTAGCAAGTGGATTATTAGCCTATTTCCGATATTCTTCTTCTTCTTACCTTATTTTTTTATTATCTTCATCTTCAATATCATCAATAATGTCATCACCTATTATTTCTTCGAATTCATCTTCTTATTTACCATTTTAAGATAGAGATCTTTCTGATTATATTTATGGTAATTACTATGTTACCATCTCTATTTCCATAACCTAAGAATTATTTTGAGCTTAAGCTTATAATTTTTCTTATTCTTCCTTTTTCTTTATTTCAGCCTTCTCTTCAATAACTCTTATCAATAATGTCCAGGAATAATACTGGAGTAGTCCACATAAAACTAATACTAATATTCCACCTGTGAGGTACACCTTTTTAAATCCTTCAGGAAATGCTAAAACAACTGTTCCTACTGAAACTTTCAATAATTTGCATATAGTTGACATCTGTGAAGCTTATCTTCTATAGTACTGTTTTCTTTGTTTGGTCATTTTGTTATAAATATCAACGATATTAGTTGGAAGAGGAGGTAATTTATACTTAATTTCCATTTCAATTTTATAATCTTTATTATATTTAATACTAATTGTGATCATTTTACAATAAAGAAAACCTATACTTTTTGATATATTATTTTTGTATTTTAATTTTAAGATGAAGTTGTATCTTAATGGGAAGGAATTTATTATTCTTAAAATTAGATGGTAATAAAATTATTATTATTTAATAGTGTTTATACATAATATCAATGTCTAAGATTATAACATATATAATCTATAATATTTAATGCAAATAAATGTATTAATTCCATTTTTAAATATATATTTCTAACCATTATAATTTTTAGAATATCTTATTAAGTATATTTAGTTAAATAATAAAAGTTTACTATTAAAAGATCCACTAGGATTTGTATATTCTTATTATATATATAAATATACAATTAATTAACTGAATGAAATAATTATATTTATAAATAAGAATTAATCAGTTAAATTATTTTCTTTTATTAAGAACCTACATTCTATTTAGGGCAGTCTTTAATATTATTTATTTTAAATATGAATAAGAGAATAGTATATTAAGGTGAGAAAGCTACTGTTAAATATGAAGGTCCTTTAATGCATGAAAATAGAGGAGATGAACTTTGGTTGGGAGTTGAATGGGATTAAGCTGATAGAGGAAGACACAATGGCACTGTTTAAGGGTATACTTATTTCAAAACAACTGGTGGAGCTAATTCTGGTAGTTTATTAAAGAAGGAAAAAGTGAGTTTTGGTAATAAGTTATGGGAAGCATTATTTTTGAAATATTTCAAAGAAATCCCTCCATAATTATTAAAAGAAATGGAAGTGTAGGAGCAAGTAAAAGATGAATTTCTTTAAGAACATTAAGATCTTGCTAATCATTAAGATGAGAAAAGCAAAGTTATCACCCTTATAAATTAAAAATAAGTGAAAATTGAATTTGATGACACTGCATTTTTTGAAACTATGAAAAAGAGAAAAAAGATGGTTGAATTTTATGGATTTGATGAAATATATAAAAAACTTAATAATTTAGAGACTTTGTAGGAATTATCTTTAGAGTGTTAAAATGTAGCAACAATTGGACCATTTGGTTTTGTTGGAAGTATATTTAAAAATCTAAAAATTTTGGGTTTGGAAAATAATTTATTTCATTCTTGGCATTAAATCTTTGTTTTAGTATCATAATTACCAACATTAAGGGAATTGTCAATATCAAGTAATAAATTATAAAAACTTGAAACATTTGGAAAATAATAATTTGAAAATTAAATATTTACTTAATAACCAGATTATTTGATTTATGATTATGAATAAGGAAAGCATTTAGAAATTCCAGTAGATGGTTGTGGTAAACATGTAGAAATTTTGGTTTTAATTGGAATGTAATTAACTTGGTAGGATATATCTTTAATTATTCCAGCATTTCCTAAAGTTTAATAATTATTATTGTGTAGAAATATATTATTAGATTATGAGAATTTATAATATAGAGATACAGATTTATAATAATTAAAATTATTAAATTTAGAATAAACTGAATTAACATAATTTGAATGCATTTAAAAATCATTTGGTAATTTACCTAATTTAGAAAGACTTATATTAAATAAAAATAATTTAAAGGATTTACCTTTAGTTACTGATTTTTAATCTCTTAAACATTTAGCTTTAGATCATAATCATTTTGCACATCCATAGTTTTTAAATAAAATAGGAAATTTATAATTAAATTCTCTATCTATTAAACATAATCCATTAGTTGATAAATTAGGAAAATTATATGTCAGATAAAGAGCTATTGCAGAAATATCAAGTGTTTAAATCATTAATGGTAGTGAAATAACTAAATTTGAAAGAAAAGATTCTGAAATATTTTACTTAAAATCTTCATTTGAAGAATACTTTTTGTTAAAGAATGTCAAACATTATTATTATGATTATGATGATTTTATCAATTATGCTAAATCAAATCATCCTAAAGTTATTGAATTAATTAAAAAATATGGTAATCCTTATGAAATTGATCCAACTGTTAAAGGTGGATATACATAAACAAAATAATAAATTTAATAACCTTAATATTGTACAATCAAAATTATAGATCATGTTGGAAAACTAAAAGATAAGCCTACACCAAAAAAATTGATGGGAAATACTGGTTTATAACCAGTGAAAATGATGATTTCAAAATTAGTAAACATTCCTATCAAATAGATATTATTATCAATTTAAGTATATATATATTTAATATAATTAAGGTAACTGAAGATGCTGAAATTGTTTAAATGGAAGGAAAAGATGTGACTTTGAATGATTTTGGCGTTTAGGATAATAGTCTCATTCATGTTAATGTCATACCAGAATGATTATTTTATCTAATAATAAATTTATTTATTATGAAATCATTTAACTCTTCAAAATAACAATCTTAAACTATATTAAATTAATATCTAAAGATGATATGAATAATTATTTAGGATAAAAACCATTTTGTTAATTTAACCTAACAATTCTAAGATCTCTTAATATATTAATAAATTATTGAAAATAAAAAGTAATGGTAATTCAATACTTGAATCATTTGTATTTTAATGACACATCAGGCTTTAAATGATAAGAAATCAAAAGCAAGTTGGTTATAGAATTAATATAATTTATTTACTTGGTGTAATTTAAAAATAATTATAGAAATTATTATGGAATTTCAAAAATAAGTATCTCTTATCATACAATCAGAAAATCAGTTTTTTTATTAATCAGAAGCTTTGGACTTCTATTCCATTTAAATATTTTCCAAATTTTGATACAAATGATTTTTGAAGTAGCTCGTTTTCTGATGTAACAATAATAAAAATTTCTTGAAATCTAACAATAGAGCATTATGCAGATCTTCTACAAACTTAAGAATTCAAAGAAATTTTGGTTATAATAAATTAATGAATAATATTAAAATCACCATCATAAGAAAAAGTAATTTAATAAATTACAATGTTAACTTTAGAATTATGTCTGAAATTATTCCTGATATTCTTAAATAATATATTCCAAAAGATATAAAAAAAAGATATGCTTTATTAATAAAAGAGCCACTTTATTATAAAGAATATGTAAATATAATAGAGGCAATACATTTTGGTATTTATAAGGAAGAGGATGAAAGATGGGAAGTTTATTTGGTATAATACAATTTTAAATGTTCAGGTTATAGAGAATAAATTTCCAGATTTATAAGGATTAGATGGCATAATTATAACAGGATCAAGTAATACAGTATATGATTTAAGTGAAGATTGGAAAGAACCATTATTTATGTTTTTAAGAGAAGCTAATAAACTTAAAATAAAAATTTTTGGACATTAAGTTTTGGCTCATTGTTTAGGTGGAGAAACATAAAAGATGATTTATGTTAATAGATTGTAAGTAGGTAGAACTGTTATTTAAACTTAATTGAAATGGAAAAATTATTTAATAAAAAATCTAAATGTATATTAGATTCATGGAGACTACGTAAATTGCCAAAATGTACTTAAGTTATAATGAGCACAAATCATTGTGAAAATTATGCATTCAAAGTGATCACATTTTAGGTGTTTAATTTCATCCTGAATTTAATGCTTTGATCTTATTGTACATTTTTAGAAATTCCTCAGATCCTTTAAGAGATATATATATGAAAGATTGTTATGAAAGTTTTAAAGATGGATATGATCATTAATAAATCATTTGGGAATTTACAAATAATTTCTTGAAGAATAAATGATGAACAATTAATTGATAATATTATTGTAAATTTATTATTTAAATATGAATTGGGATAAGAAATAAAATCATTATTGTTTCTATTATTTGTGATAAACTCCACTGGTTATAGATTTAAATATCTTTAAGCGATGCCTAAATAATTACAATTATTTTCATACTTTTTTTTAATTGAGCCCACTTCTATTTTCTCAACTGAAGTCCAATACTTAAGTTGAGGCATTTAGTATTAGGTTAGTGTATGTGAAAATTGACATCTCTGACCATATTTACAGCAAATTTCTTAGAAATTTTTACATTCTTTTGTTCTATAATTTTTAGGAACGTCTTTTGACAACAATTAATCTTCACCATGTGCGAAGTAACACTAAGAATTTAGTAATATTTTATTACTTTATTGCCATATGGACATATTTTTCCTTCAGTCCAATATTTACAGAATTCTGTCTTCAATTTTACATTCAATGTTCCATAATCATCCTAGGTTGATGTAGAAGACAGATAGTCTTCACAATCTGCATACATTAGATAAGTTTGAGTTTTATTAAATATATTTATATATAATAATTCACTATCAACTCAAATGATTCAAAAATATGTCATGTGACTTATTATATATTAAACCAGTTATTAATTATAAATTTTAAATTCATATTTATAGTCAAATTAGATTCAAATATTCTCCTGATTGAGTCCATTTAGCCATAATTTATAACTAGAATTAATAAAATTAATTAATTACTCTTCTAACTCTTGTAATTAGAATCTTAGCACGTTCATTTTCCTCTAGAATACTTTTCAAATCTGTTATAGCAGTACTCCAAGGATAGGCTCCATTAATCAATAAAATATGTGCAACATCTAAGTGATCTTCTTAAATTGATAATATTAATGGAGTACGATATAAAATATCAACTCCATCAATATCTGAATGATATTTCAATAAGATTTCAACCATCTAAATATAACCTTTTTTACAAGCCCAATGTAATGCTGTCATGTTATAAAAATCATATTCAAATACTAAATAAGGATTGATTTAAAGATAGTTTTCTATTTCTTCTATTTTATTCTATTTTGCAGCATGTATAAATTCTTTTGAATATTTTTTTTCATATGGTTTTTTTGAAAATATTTTATGTTCCATAACATATTTAATTGTAAGACCCAAAGCTTTGATTTTCTTTAAAGCCCTCAACAGAAATTATCTTAATTGTTTTTTTGTTCTTGGAGGATAAGGTAATACACTTTTAGGAATTTCAGGTTTTATATATGCTTGAGGTTAAACAACTTTTAGAGGCTAGATCTATTTTTTACAAATGTTTGATGTATCTACATGCAAAGGTGAATAATTAAGTTTTGTAATTATACTATATAGTTCTTCCTAATAATGGTCGCTTTATTTTAATCGAATTGATTTATGCACACTCTTGCATTATAAAGATGATTTCTTGCTTGGCTCAGTAATAACTCTTGTTGAAGGCAAACAAAGTGGCCTTCTTTTAACTGGAAATAATTATCGTCCCACATTAATATATTTAGGTGTTGGAATTTATATCGACGGTCTTTGTACTTTCATATCTAATGTACTTTGAAGAGTTTCACCAAAATCTACTATTTTTCTCAAAGAGTGATTATGTAAAAATTCTTTTATCTTTTCATTGGGAGCCGACAATTTATTTTTTTTTAGTAAAGTAACCATTTTGTTTGGAGGAAGCATAAAGAACTTATATTCCTCCTTCTTGGTTTCATTTGATACTCTTTTTGGGTACCAAGGTCTATCAGTCTTGATTTCTTTAGGAGTTGGTTTACATTATTATTTTATGAGTCTCCTATAATAATCTTCAACAAACATTATATTTTTAATTAAATCAATCTGAGTCAATATTAAGTACATTTATTACATATGAATAATATATATAATAGATATTTAATCACAATGATCTTTAAGAACAATATATTTTCTAAATTAAAAAGATTCCCATTGAAATTCTAATTATTATTCTTATTTATAGATATAATTCAACATTAGATAAATCAAATAGTATATAAGTTTATATTTCTAATTCATATTATTTATAATAATTAGGATTTTATTTTCAAAAATCAAGAAGAGAAAGTAAGTGAATTTCTCAAGAATTGTTTAAAAACGATTAAATATATTAATCAAATATCAAATAGAGCAAGTATTTCTAAAATGAAATCTAAAAAATACTTTTTAAATATTTATTCGTATTGCAATTTAATAGTGAAATTTTAAACGAAGAACCATTTATCAAATAAGACATAGATATTTAACAAAATTCTTTTGGAAATTAAGAAAGCAAATTTAAGGAAAAATATTTAGATTATATTTTATTTTATTATTATTTTAGAATGTATGAATTTTCAAAATGATGTTTACTGTTAAAATGAAACATTTATAAAAAATAAAACATAGATGTTAAAATGTAAAATTTATGTTAATATAAAACATTTATTTTTAAAATTGAAAAAGCTGATAAAATAACTTACATTGAATTTATGATGATTAAGTATTATTCAATATATATTATCTCATAGTAATTATGAGATTTTAAGATTGTTATAATTCTGATTATTCTAAACGAAATTGATTATTTTTCATAGTAAAATTAGAATACATTAAATTATCCATTAAATTTAATTCAGAATGAATTAATTTGTTTAATAATATAAATAAATGATGATATTCCAAAATTTTAAGTTCAAAATTGAATTTGAGAACCAGTGTCACTTATTCGATAAATATCAAAATTTATAAAATTATAATATATTAGAATCAATATTTATATTTGATAATAAAATATTAAATTATTAATATTATAAATAATAAAGATATTTCAATAAATATTTAACAAAATATGTTTTAAGGATTAATGAATAGAGAACAATGTAAACAATTAGCTTAAAAAATCATGAAACTTTATGATCAGGATTAAAATGATTTGATGGAAGTAAAAGATGCTGGAAATTTATAATCTGATTGCTATAAATATATCAATATTGATTTTATTCCTTCCCAAAATGATGTTAAAGGATATGCTAAAATTTTTGATAGTAAATAAGGTTATTTAATATGATAGAAGATGGAAAAGGAAAAATATCAGTAAATGATATCGAATGCTTATGTTTTAAATATTTTGGAGGAGAAACATCTAACACTGAGGTGCTAGAATAGAAACCATAGAAAGCAAATACTATAGAATTAAATCCTGTAAAAACTGAAGATAAAGTAGATACACCTTCAAAGTTATAATATTAATCTCCATATAGGAGATGGGGATCTTAAAAATCTACTTAAAGTTCTTCAACTTCTATATAATCTAATAAATAACTTGCAACATAATCTTGTGTTGTACCATCTATAACATAAAAAGAACCTCAAAAATATAGTAAATTAGCTGAAGCTAGATTACAAGTAGCCAGAAGAATTTTTAAAATGCTGGATTAAGAAAATAATGGATATATAACAGAAAAACATGTAATTCCATTATTAGTAGAAACGTATAATAATATGGGAATGAAGATTGAACCAACTAGTGAAGATGTAGAAATGTGGATGGAAATGGCCGATGAAGATAGAGATGGAAAAGTTTATTTAATTGATTATGAAGCTTTAGTCTTGAAAAGTCTTAGATCTTAAGGTATAGAAATAGATTGATAAATTCATGTTCGTTAAATTTATAATTTCATATTGTCTAATTTCTTAATACATTATTCATATTTCTTGAGATAATAGTCTAAAAAATAATAAAATTTAGTACTTCTACATTTTAAGTCATTAAATCCATACTCTCTCTAACACAATAAGAAATCATCATATCTATCATGACATTTTTTTTCTTTTATTTATACTATGAATTAATTAGTTTAATACCTTATTCTTAAGTAATAACTACATTATTTCCCATAAATATAAATATAAATAATAATAATAATATATATTTATTCATTTTTTAAGCATACTTTCTTATACACGAGATAAAAAAGACTTTCTTGTTTTAAATTATTCTTAAGGTGTTCTTTTAATAATTTAATCAATCGATTTAACAATTAAATTATTTTTCTCTCTTAAACTTTTAGAAATTTATGATTATTCGATAGGTTGCTCATGTATTGTAGGTGCTTTAGATAAATTTTATTCATAATCTGAAACTAATGATTTAAGATTCTAATAAATATTATATATTTATTACCATTAATTCTCCTTCATTAAATATAGATTATTTTTTAATGATTTATTAAATTTAAAATCTCATTTTATCTTCTATGTCTTATGTTCCTTATAATACCAATCTAGCTTTATTAATACCTTCTAAATGTTCTTATTCTTTAGATATATCAGATATAATTTTCATTATGTTCGAATGTGTTGCTACTCTTTAATGAGTATATTTTTGAAATTTTAATAGTTTTTTTCCTACTATTAAATCTGATTAGCAAACTTTATCAATTTCTTCTTAAGATGATATCTATTATTTAACAGATTTTAAAGATTTTATTTAATTTGCACTTTCAAAAGAGGAGAGAACCTTTTATTGATAATATAAATCTAATTCTTTTTTAGCCTTTAAAGAAGAAAAGGTTTCAATTTCCCTTTAAGGCAATCTCTTTAAAATTTAATCAATATCTGAAGTGAACTTATAAGATTTACTTTTCTGATGTGTTATTATAACAGGAGTTCTATGAGAATGTTAAGGTGAAGGATTATTAGTAGTCTACTTACTTATCTTTACATCATCTAATGAATTGAATGTTCTACATTTTTCTTATTAACGAGGAGTATGAATATTGGATTAGATTGTAGTTTCTTATTCAGTTAATCTGAATAATTTTTTATTATAAACAGATTCATCTGGTTATTGTAAAATGGAATATAAGTTTAAATTAATCTCTTTATTATATTTTCTATAAAATCCATCATTAATTTTAGTCCAATAATCATTACTTGTATCTTCATTTTGATAATGATTAGATTAGGGAAAAATTGGTGCTAAAATTGAATTGACTTCCTTTATTTCTAACATGAAATTTCTATACTAAATTAATTATATTTGTAAATCTTACTTTGTTAGTGTATTAATAATATTTTTCATCAATAAATGCGGTTAAACCAATATTATTTGTAATTTATGATAACCACAATGCAATTTTATATGTTTCTAATAATTTAGTATAATCAGATTGTAATTCAAATATAAAACCAAGAATATAGAGTGTAACAACAATCCATGAAATTACTTTAAAATATTAATCTTCCATTTTTTTAAGGTGATAATCTTAATTAATTATATCCATCAATAGAAATTAACATTCAGTTATGGCTTCATAAAAATAAGAAATAGCAGGCTCAAATAACTTAAATTAAAAATGCAATTATCCAACTAATAAGTTATACTAAAACTTTAATTTATTGAATCGAGAATCCTTATAATAACAAATTGGCTTCCAATATAGTACACATCTAACATCTTCATGTTATTTTGATAATTAAAATGTCAGCATTTAAATTTAAGAAAATCTATATAGAATATCCTTCAAATAAAACTTTTCTATTAAATTTCTTATTAATTTTTACTATATTCCTTAGCTTAGTTTTGTAACATTTCTATATAAAACAAAAGGAATTGCTGTAACTTTCTCACTAAGTGTATTTAACTTTCTTATTTGTTCCCATCACGAGAATACTACTTTAGAATCTTAATAAGACACACTATTCCTCTTCTAAGTAATTGAATACGAATGCGCCATCCTGTTTGCATAATCAATGATCTTTCAAATTCTTTGTTAATTAATGCAAATCCAGCTTTATATTTACCCTAACCTATAATTTTAAAGATGTTAATACGTATTAGTTTTGTTATTTCTAAGATTTAGTTTTAGAAATGATTTTCTTATATAATCGTTAACTATTTGGCATGACTTCTCATAATATAAAAATTATATAATCAAAAAATAGATTATTATCAAGTCTTTAGATCCCCAAATGATATAAAAAAATTAACATAACAATAGTATCTATATCTTTGATCAATTAATATAAAAATCCATTTCATTTAATAAAAAAATGAGCTGATTTTATACTAATAAAAATGCTTTTTGTATATCAATTTGATATATTAAAAATGTCTATCATTTACTTGTTTTCTTATTTAAAAATTATAATCTAAAATTGAATCCATAAATCGTTTGAAATATCTAAAAAATATTATTATTTAAAATTAATCAAAATAAAATTCTAAAAAAATGGAATTATAATATTATTTTATGTTTAATTTATTTAGTAAGTTATAGTAATAATCATTTATTGTGAAGAGAATTTTTCAATCTTGAAGTACTACTATATATGTTTTATTAATTTAACGAAGATAAAGTATTAGCCCGTTCTTACAATGGCTTTGGCTGTTAAACATCAACTTAAGGAGTAGTTCCATGACCATTTGTACCACTAAGCATCTAACTTAATATTTCCTTAGTGTATTTAAGTCTTTTAACCATTTAATTATTATCACTTTCTAAAGCAGTATTCAACATATAAGTTGATATAACTAATTCTTTATCAATATAAGTAACCACCTTTAATTATTAGGTCAATATAATTTGTGTATTATCATGAAAAATAACTTAAACAGTCTTGTCTGACAATCGAAAAATGATAGCATGTTTTGCTTTCATCCATTTTTTAACATAAATTTTTTACCAATATTATTATTCAGTTTCACTAACAATTTCATTTTCTATTAAATATCCTTTAAAATGAATCATCAAAGTTGATTTCTTTTACATATCTGATGTTTATTGTTACAAAGATCCTTCTTTTTCTTCTCCATTTCTATCAATATAAATATATTTGCTATAATATTAAATGATAATAATTACTCATCATTTAACATAAGCATTTTTGAACAATCATTATAAAAGACTCCACATTATAAATTATTAAAAACATAACCCAATCCATATTTACTTGAATAATCAACCCTTAATATTATTTGTAAATAAATACCATTTTTTAACATAGATTTAAGGTTCTTAAATGACATAATTTTAATTAAGACAACTTTCAATATTAGAACGAAGAGGAATTCTATCCATACTTGCATATTAAGGACGTTATTTGAGATCAAGAGGTCTTTTTTCAGTATTTTCAAATTTTGGTATACTAGTAGATTATTATTTTTGATATTATCTAGTGTATTATGAAGATGGTGGACAAGCTAAAGTGCTTAAAGGTAATAATTAAGGTATTAGACCATGAAAGAATTCATGATCTTAAATTTCTTAAAGTGTTAATCTTTTGGATGGTTCAGTAACAAGGATCTTACTTATTAACTATCTTGCTGCATTACTAATAATACAAGATTCAGGAAATTAATAAGCATTCATTTTGATTCTTCTATAAGTAGTTTTGACATCAGTTGTTTCAAAAGGTGGTCTACCAACTAAAAGAGTATAAGCAATAACACCAAATGACCAAATATCTACTTCAAAACTATGACCATTTTTAGATTCCAATATTTCAGGTGCAATATAATTAGGAGTACCACAAACAGTACGTTTTCTTTCACCTTCAAATTCTATAAGAGTAGCTAATCCAAAATCTCCTAATTTGACTTCCATTTTATCAGACAAAAATAAATTGCCTAATTTTAAATCTCTATGTATAACATTATGCTTATGTAAATATTATAGTGCAATTAATATTTACATAAGATAACATTATACTTCAAGTTCAGTTAATCTTTTTCTTCTTTTTAGTAGTTCATTCATAGTTTAATTAGTACATAATTCTAATAAGATGTATACATTTTCATCATCTTCAAAATATCGATGGAATCCAACAACATTTTAATGTTATAAACTACGATGTATTTTTATTTCAGACATTAATTTTTATCTTGCTCTTGATCTTGTTAGACTTGCTTTGCTAATAATTTTACTAGCATAAGATTATTCTCCATGCTAAAATTCATAGCATTTTGCAAACCCTCCTTTCCCTAAGAATTTACCCTTTACATATTAACGCACAGTTTTATCTTTACATACTTCCTCTACAATATCCATTTTTTTTTAACGATTAAATTTAATATCAGAATTTATAATCATTAGGTCTGACCAACAATGCTTCTTGGTTCCACTCTTACATATGCTCAATTACTTAATTTATCATCACTCTAAATCCCAATTTGTGATTGTCAGTATTACTTAAGAACTATCTATACTTTTTATTGTTCATCTCTCCATTGAATAGGTTAATTATTGGTTTTACACACATTTAAGTTGAAACTTTACAACCATTAGCTCTCTTTTCTTCTACAAATTCTGCATACAGCTTAATTATATATTATTAATTCTTACTAATAATATCTCCTTTCTATTATAATTTTAATTTTCTCCTCCATAATAACGTCTATCAAAATCACTAAATATCCATGGATTTTCATGGGCTGTACGACCAATCATAACCCCATCTACATTTGGCATAACTTAATCAATATGCTCAGTACATTTAATACCCCCATTTAAAGTAAAATTAATTTAAGGAAATTCTTTCTTTAATTCATAAACTATTTTAAATGTATAAATGATATACCCCAATCATATTTCAATGGTGGAACTGTTCTATTTTCATGTGGATTCAATCCTTTTAAAAATGCCTTACGAGCATGCATTATAAAATGATTCACTTATCCTTCTTTGTTTACAATTTCAATAAAATTTCTAACAAATTCATATGTGTCTAAGTTATCAACTCCAAGTCTACACTTCACTGTACATGGTATTTTTACAGCTTCTTTCATTGTTTTCATACATTTAGCCACTAAATGAGGCTCTTTCATTAAACAAGCTCCAAATGCACCATCTTATACTCTTTCAGAAGGACATCCAACATTAAGATTAATTTCATCAAATCCTGCCAATTCTGCAATTTAAGCAGCCTTAGCCAATTTTTCAGGGTCATTACCTCCCAATTAACAAACAACTGGATGTTCAACTTAAGAATAATCTAATACAAGTGGAAATGGTTTTAAGACTCGACTTAAATTAATAGCATTTTCATGAATCATCTCTGTATAAAGAACACAATTCTTAGTTAAAAGTCTAAAAAACACTCTGAAGTGTTCATAAGTAATATCTATCATAGGTGCAATAGAAATTTTATGTCTGAATGCTTACTCCATAAATAATTTAATAATGTAATCTATTCGTAAATAGCGCATGAATAAAATCATGCAAGTATAAGGTGAAGTTGGATAACATAAAGGTTATAAAGCTATAAAAATTGTATCAAATGCACATGAACTTTTAAGAAAGAGTAAATCACTTACAAATTTTATTGGAGAATTAGCCATTCAAGATGTAAGTAAAAAACTGTTGCAAGATCAATTTAACTCTATTAAAAGTTATGATATTCCAAAAGGTGAAGATAGACCAGGAATTTAATTCAAATCTGTTCATAGTATGTATGACTTACAAGCATTAAAGATAACAAAACTATACAAAAAGAATGAAAGAAATGAGATTGAAAAACAAGTTAGATCTTAATTAGCTAAAGAGCCAGATAAATAATTACTTCTATCTGAAATTTATGAACAGTTAGAAGACAATTCAGATGGTGAAGTACTTAAGAAGAAATAAAAAATTAAAGAGGAATCCTTAGCAAGTCAATCAAAAGAATATGATGATTCTAAAGATTAATTGACAGATCTTAAATAATGGACAAAGAAAATGAAAGAATAAAAGAAGAAGTTATAAAATAAAAAAGATGAAAGTGATACATTAGTCCCTTTACCAAGAAGTAAAGAGAGAGCATAAACTGAGATAAAGAAACCTTTAGTTCGTTAAAAAGGAACTAGACATTTATAGATTGATAAATCAAATTCACCTACAAATTCTCAAAATACTCCTAAATCTTATAAGGATATTATGAAAAATGCTGTTTCTAAAACAAAATAACTTAAGAGTTTAAATGAAGATCTAAGTGTAGAAAGATCTGTTGAATAATATCTATAAAAAGCATCTACAGTAGCCTTAAATGAACTTAAAGAAATAGGTGAACTTAATGTTGATGAAGAGAAAGGTCTAACAACTAATTTTGATTACACAAATGAAGATATCTAAAGAATGTATAATACTCTTGTAAAAGTTTAAATGTCATAATTCAAATCAGAAGCTGAGAAGGCTAAATTTTATAAAAAATAAACGTAATTAATAGCTAATAAATTAATTCAAAAGATTAAATAAAATGAATCAATTATTGATGCTAGAGTTACAGCATAAGAGAAATTAAGATTAGAAACTCATGATTTTCATGATAAAGTTATTTAAATTAAATAATTATCTTAATAATTGTAATAGGAAATATAAGATATGAAGGATCCTAAATTATCAAACAGTATGTAGATTAGTAAATCTAGAATGTCTTTAGTCAATCAATTTATGAATTAGTAAAATAAAGAAAAAGAATTATAATAAGATTTAAATGTTTTAAAAGAAAGTCGTATTGCTTATAAACATAAAATACTTTTTAATAAAAAAACATTAGAATAAATAGATTCTGATATTCAAATTAAAAAAAAAGAAAATAAAAATTTATAAAAATGTCTTATTAATTTTTATTTCTAAGTTTTAAAAAATGGTTAAGATGTTAGAAATACAGGAATAGCTTGGGTAATATCAAGACTAAATTAACTTAATGAGAAATCTTCTTATTCTTGTTTTCCAGAATATTTAGATTAAAAATCAAAAGAATTTTTATTACAAGTATAATTATTATATAATAAAGAAAGCACTAATGTTATAAGAAATAGATTAATTAGAAAAAGAATTGAGTGAATCTTTTAAATAATATAAACAAGAATAATCACTTGATAATAGCTTAGCAATAATATAATAAAGCTTATCTCATAATGACTCTTTAGAAGTATCATCATTACCTTCCATATTCCCTTATGATAGTCATAAATTATCAGCCATTGATTTAACATAGGCAAGATTAGAAGCAACTAAAAGTAGTCGAAATACTTATTAACTTGATAAATTAGGTCCAATTACATTAGGGTTAACAAATGAAGATGTGGAGAATTTGGAAAATATGTTAACAAGATTAAATTAAAAGAATTTACCAGTTACAAATGGAACTCTAATTTATAGAGAAACTTAAAAAAGAATAAAATAACATATAAAATAATAAGGATCTATGGATGTGTCTTAAATTAATGATTCATCAACAGTATTAAAAGAATAAGCCATTCATTCTTATGATAAATGTAATTCTTAATTAAACAAATTAAAAATAAAAGTAAATCATAAAATAAATTAAGTTATTGCATTTGGATGATGAATAAGTAACTAGAATTGTAAAAGAATTTGACTATAAGAATTATAGTAAAAGATTTAGTATAGATCCAATAACAGTAATATCTTGTTTAGTGGGAGGACCTCGATGTGATAGAGAGATTGTGAAATAAGGGATGAAAAAAATTCATTATGATTGAATTAGAGTACTTGATTAAATTAATATAATTACAATAACTAAAATTATAAAAATTAAATTCAATTCCATAGTTCATCATCTGATTTTTATTTAATCTTCTTTTACTAAGGAATAAGCAAATTATTTGATTTAGAAGGCTTAGAAATCAATTTACTAATAATTTCTTAATTTTTTAAATTGGGTGATTCTTACTAATTCTTTTGAATAGTTTTCTTAGGTGATCCCTCTTTTTCAGTTAATATATTTTATAGTTTTTATAACTCTTAAGCAACCATAGATAAAGAATTTGCATTAGCAGGTTTTGTTAATAAAACTAATATGATATCAACAGATTCTAAAATATTAAATAATTATACTTTTTGCTTAATCAATTGTATTATCATTTTCATATTTTTATATCTGATTTTAAAGAGAAGTAACTTCTTTTTTATATCTTTCTTATTCAATTTTACTAATTTTCAAGTCTAATTGTAATTTAGTATTTATCTCAATTAAATTTTTTAATTCATATTATGACATTGCATCTGATTAATGATGAATAGTAGATTATTATGGTAATGTTTAAATATAACTATTTGAAGAAGGATCAGCAACTAATAACATTTTAGATGATGGCATTTCAGATAAAAGTAATTATTGTTTTGTATTAATTGTGTTAAGATTAGTATTTACAATAAAATTATTAGGAATTTCTAAATTATTTTTATTAATAATTTCTTCTAATTATTCAACTCTAGATTATTTTGTTTAAATTATATCTTCTAATTCTTTTTATAGTTTTTCATAGGCATCTAATTCTTCTTGTAATTATAAAATAGTTTCATCCCTTTCATTAAGTCTATTTGTCAAAGCAATCATAATATCTCTTTACTTTAATAATAATTATTTATATTTGTCTGTCTAAGCTTTATCTTCTTCAATATTTTATCTCTCTTTTTCTAATTCTTATAATTTCTCTTAATATTATTCTCTTATCAATTTCTATTGTTTTTCTAAAGCATTTTAAAATTAAGGAGTTTCTTCAATTTTTTATCCTCCAACAAGCATTTATGAATTTAAAGAAGAAATCTTCTCTTCCAATTATTTTCTCAATTATCTCTCTTAATCTAAATCTTTGCTTCTTTATTCATATGCACTTTAAACCTCTTATTTATCTTCTAAAGCTTTCTGTCTTTCTCTTTCTAATTCAGAAACCATATTATCAAGAGGTAATTTACTTCTTTCATCTAATTCTTATTTTAGTTTCTAAATTTCTAATTAATATTTTCTAAGTAATGCTCCTTGATCTTAATCTTAATTAACCATAGGTGTATTTTTTATGTTTTTAGCTCTGTTTGCAAACTTTAAAGTTGATAAAGATTCACTGAATGCATCAATAGCTGGAGATATCATTGCCATAAAAGTAGTTTTACAATTTCCTCCTAATGAATCTTCTAATAATCTAGTTATTTTAGAATCTCTATATGGAATATGTGATTTTGGTTATTTCAATTCTGTTAATGCAGCAATAACATTTCCTAAAGCAGAAAGTGATTGATTAATTTTTTTTGATTCCTCTAAACGAATACCTGTTGCTCCAGTAACTCTTACTCTTTCACTACCTGCTAAATCGACTAAATTTAATTTTCCTACTTTTGCTCTTTTACCATCTGGTGTTTCTTCAATTTATTCAACTGTAATTATGAAAACTGCATGACTACGAGATGAAGTATCATTCATTCTTGTACTTGCAGTAACTCTTTTAGCATTACCTCTTCTCATCAATTAATAGATTTCAGGTGGTGAACGTACAGCCCATTCTGATAAATTTTCTACAAAGACTCCTCTTTTTTTATCTTCTCTTATATTTAATTATTAATGATCAGGTCTCAAGAGATCACTTATAGATTCATTATAAATTTATAAATATGATGCTCTAACCATGAATGTAGTACTAGAATTAGATTTCATTTAAATATGGGTGAAAATACTATGGAGGGATCGAGGTATTATTCCTAATTAATCAGAGTTGGGAGTAAATGAAAATCCATGCATTGTGTATGTTTTACCAGTTCCGGTCTGACCATAGGCCATAATGGTGGAATTATATCCCTTCGATAGGAATTCCATACTGTACTTAGAGTGTAGAATCAACAGACAAAGCTGCAGTAGTCTCATAGACTTCCACTTAAGTGCTTTCTTAATCATAAACATAATCAAAGGTAAACTGATGGATAGTGTAGTTGGCTGGATTTTAAACAAAAGCCTCTAAATCTTCATCTGGTACTAATTCAATAGAATGATAATCAAAGATGCATAGCTATTGATTATCAGGTGCTGCTTAGACCTTGAATTAGTTAAGAGATAGAGTTACAGTGGATATAAATTTGCCATCTTTGATTTCTCTTGCCATAGGAGGTCTAACTCTAATAACAACTCTTAAATTTTCATTTGAGCCTTCTTTATTACTTGGTTTCATTTGAATTGTCCTATTAATAATTAATAATTAATAAATATATAACTTTAATATATGATAGTTATAGTAAATTAAGATATTGAGAAAGTTTAAATTAAAAAGAAAACATAATTAAATGTAGATAGGTAATTATAAAAGCATTTATATATCATCATAATTATTTTATTAATTTCATTTATTCTTTAACAAAACCTTTTTACCTAAAAAGTATCCTCCTGTTAACATAAATGCCAGGAGTGTTATTACACTAGCTAATTCAACAATTGGTAGACTATTTTGTTTTTTTAATAATTATATTTAAGATTCAGAATAACCAAATGGACTATTATTAGGATAATAAATACTTTTAATGTAAGATATCATTGATTTAACTAATTTAATCCCAGAAAGGTTTCTGATCATTATAAGATAATTTTGGAATAAGTTGAGCAGTATCAAATTAACAATTTTGATCAATAAGTAAAAAGTCTATTATACTTAATCTTCTTTTTTCAATTTATTATTCAGCTTCTAATTCATCATATAAACTAATAGCATATGTTTTATTTTGAATAGTTGTTATAATGAGTGGTAGATTACCAAATTCTTTTTCAAGTTAACCCTAAGAGATTAATAAAAGTATACATGTTTTTTTCTGGTCACAATAGCAATATGGAACACTTTTCTATCAATACTTTTTTAAACAGAAGACCAAGAATTCTTTCTATTTTATTCCTTAAATGTATCAGATAATTTAATTTCAATTCCGATATAACACAACAACTTGTATGCTTCTTTATAATTAAAGAAGGAAAAGGCACTTGGATATCATGATTTGTATACTTCCACATTGCCAACCATTATGTTAAATTAATAATATCTTATTCTTAGGGATAATATTAATTTAAATGAGGAAAATTAGTTCTATACATTACTGGATAAAAAATATCATCAAATTATTTCTGATTTAAAGTATTTTTTAATTAAGATATGGAATTGCATCTTATTTCAAATATCTATTTCAATTTAGATAAAGCAATATCACTTAATTCAACAGTTTAACCTGCATCTTAATCAAATATTAATCTAATTTCTATATAAATTAATACTCATTTGTAAATATACTCTCATCTAAAGTTAAATCATCTTTGTATCTAAAAAATCGTAAAATAGTCCAGCAAATTTAAATTTTCATTAATTCAATTCCTCTTTTTTATAATGCTATAAATCCTTCTAAAGTAATAACTTTTTTATTTGAATTATCATGTAATTCTTCTTCAATCATATCTTTTATTCCAGCAATATCACTATAATCTAATTATCTTTTAAACACTTTTTTTTAGAATTTCTCTAATTCTGCATCACTCCATACTCCATCTCCATCTTTATCACAAATTCTAAATATTCTAGTCAATGCTTTTTTAAATCCTTCTGTTAATGACTTTTCTGCAATACTATAAATTGGAGCTAATGGATAGAGAAATGATCTTTAAGCACAATTTATTACATCATATATACCTTATTATTTTATTGATGAACATTCAATTCCCATCTCAACAGACTATATTAATTCAATTTTAATACATTGAAATCCTTCACTAATTATTTGATAACTTTAAAGATTCTATGATAATCTCGATCATCTTCTAAACCTAATAAATCAAGCTTGTTTCCAACTATTATTACAGGTTATTTATATTCTTTATCTCTTAATTCTTTTAGCCAAAATCTTTTCAATCTTTCACTTGATCCGTCATCATCAATAGCATACATTAAAAGTATGACATCAGCTATCTAAACTTCTTCAGGTAATTAATGTGGAGCACATTTTGTATCTATTAGAGTAGTTATACATTCTGGATGGTTAAGCATATCAGGAGGTAAGCTAATAGGTTGATGTTTATCTAAAACAGATGCTTTGTTTGATATTTAATTTATTAATGCAGAAACAAATGATGATTTCCCAACACCACCTAAATTAATCAATTTCTTACTATCTCCAATTAAAACAAGTTTGAGATCTCTCTTTTTCATTTTTGAATTATATATATATTAATGAATATACAATTATTAACCACACTAATTAATTTATATTTATGATCCATTATATTCTAAATATATATATATATATATATAGAAATAAGAAATTAATTTTACTAACCATTATTAATAATTCATATAATTAATCAACCAAAAATTACAAATATTTTATATAGTAATAACTATTAATACAAGAATTACTCTATTGTTATTAGTTAAAAACATAATATATATATTTATTCATTATTCAAAAATAAATAAATAATAATAATTATTTAATAATACTCTATTTCAAAACTCAAAGTATTTAGATTTATCTACTTATTTAACATTTTGTATTGAGATATAAATAATTTGAATTATTAAAGATGTCTATTATAATTCATTACTTTGATTTTTTATAATATTATATGTGAATTTATTATATTCATAAAATTATGATTAATAATATGTTAATAAAAAACAACGAATAAAGAGCATCGATAAATAAATCTCAAATAAGTATTGTCAGTCCAATTAGAAAGTAATAAAGATTTTTACTCTCTCTAGATCTTCATCTACATTTTTGTTAACATCAAATTAATACATTAAGAGTTTTAAAGAAATCAGTCCTAAACAATAAGAATTGAATCGGGTTCTAAATTACAATATAAATTAATCACAATCTGCCAATTCATCAATGTATTCTATTGAATGTACTACAACATAATCTAAAAACAGAAATCGAATTAATTTAGGTGATATTAGTTCAAAATTTATGTAACTAGATGATGAAATAATAGAAGTTTATAGTGAATTTGAAAAAAACTATAGATCTATTAATTAATTAGAGAAGTTAGAACCTATTTCATATTAGAATAATTAGTATTTAGAAATTAAACGTAAAAACACAAATTAATTAATTCAAACTCATGATAGTTTAATATAATCAGATCTAATGCATGGAGATTAAAATAGAATTAAAATAACTAGATTCAAATTTAATTATTTTAGAATGAAATTAAGAGGCAAAGTATCTCCTATACATGTCTTTTTTAATGTTCCAGATAGAGTTTAAACATCATCATTAAAAATATTCTTATCTACAAAAGCAGAATTTCCAACTAAATTCAATGCTGAATATATTATACATTCTCGCTTTGCAAAAATTTATTCAGAAAAAAATTAACATTATTTCAGTGAAGAATATTTATTTATTACTCTTTATTCAGAAATAGATTTTGAATTCTCTATTAACTTTTCATTTGGTAATTCATAAATAATCAAATCTCCTGTTAAATAATAATTAGAGCCTTCTGAATTAATTTAAGACAATTATCCTTTAACTCATAAACCTCAACCAAAAGATAAGATTTTAGGAAATCTTTCAGTTGCACATCATTAAGTTAGCCATAGATTAAATAAGATACTTTCAGTATAATCAGAAAGATTATAAAAATAAAAAATGGCTAAATCTATGAGATAATCTCTTATAGAAGATAAATAATTAGATAAAATATCAAAATTATTAGTAAAGGATTAAATAATTTAATTTAGAGAAATTGAAAAATAAATTAAATAGAAAAAGGCATTAGTATAATTTGCTTAAAAAAATTGGATTCAAATATTTGGTTTATTCCTTATTACTGAATATATATATACATGCTTATAAGAATAAAGAAGAAAATAAAAAGTTGTAGCTAAAGGAAAATTATTAGTATGGGCACTTAAAACAAAAGCATTAATAGATGTTAAAGAGTATGGTGAAAATGCAAAAGATAGAACAATATTTAAATGTAGATGTGTTATCAATAGCTTTACAACTATAATTAGATCTAAAACAAAATAAAAAGCTGAATTTGTTATCACTAAATTTATGGATAGAATTCTTCTTTTTTTAACAATTCTCAACAAACATCAAAGTACACTTAATAAAGGTACAAAATTTTATAATATTTTATATAGTAATGTTTATATAAAGAAAGTTTCGTCTTCTCAAAACAAAAAAAAGATTATTCAGAGATAAATTTTGGAAATTAATCAAAGAAAATATTGCTGATATTGTTTATGATTTAAAAAGATAAAAAGAAAACTAATTCTTTTTTGAAAAACAACAAGTAGTAATTGATGTGTAAAATATATATATCTCATTTCTTTAGACCTGTTATGAATTAAGTCATTGATGAATACAACAAAAAATAAAGGATTCTTTGGATTGAATATATTTAACATACATATTTAGAAAAAGATTAAAAGAGAGTATATATTTATTATTATTATTTAGAAAATCCATGAAACAGCACTTAATTTGAAAGAGCCTAAAATTTATGATTTACCAAATAGAAATGAGCTTAGTCTTCTTATAGAATAATATGCCAAATTAAAAAAAATACTTTGATTATAATTAATTTATTTAAATGGGAAATTTTTGTAAAACACCATCACTCACAATAAATACTGAAGTTTGTGATGAATATATTATTGGTCATAAAACTATAATGTCTACAAATAATAGAGCCATTTTTAATGAAATTTACAAGCAAGAACAAAATGAATCAATATATAAATTACAATAACCATTAATCACACAACTACCATTCATAAGTTTAGATCTAATTGAGCCAAATCAATTTATTCCTTAAATTAAAGTAAATAGAAGAACTCTAAGTTTTTTTCAAGAGAAATCACCCTAAGATGATAACAGAAGCAGAACTACTTCTTAAAAGATTAAAATTGAAAATTTTTAAAATTCTAATCAACCAATCAAATCATCTCTTAAATCACTAAACTCAAAATAAGGAAGCTCATAAAAAAGTTAAACGTCAGTAAGATGGGGAAGTGATTTAAGTGTCATTGTTAAATTAATCCATTACTAAAATTAATTGGTTTGAATTAATTATAAATTTTCCTTCATCAATACTAAATCCATTTATTAAGGTATAATTTATATTTATTGTATCTGAATCATTTCTGATACTATTTTAAATAAAAATGATTTTATTAAAAATAAAAATAATCTTCATTTTTTATAATATAAATTAATGAAATTTAATTTAGATTTTAATAATACTGTCTTAAAATGTTTAGTGTTTAAATAATAATAACTAAAAGCTAATATTAATATCTAATAATTCTTACAATTTTAATAATTAATTTCTAAGAATCTATGAAAATAATTCAAAAACCAATTTAATTGATAGAAATACTTTAAATTAATATATATGATAAAATATTTATCAATTATTAAATAAATAATCAGAGTAATATATTAAAATTGAATAAGTATTTTAATATCATAAGAATTTTAAAATAATCATTTTTTTTCTTAAGAAATAGGCTATTGTTTATTTCTTTCTTGCTACTCACAAATAGCTAAATGAATTTTCCAGTTTAATCCAATAGCTTTGTAACATAATGGACAAGTATCACCATGTGATATATTACATACTTTTTAATTTTAATGTTCAGCTAATTGATTTTCTAGTATTGCACATCCACAACTAAAATATATTAAAAATAATAAAATTACGTTTCACATTATCTATAATTTTTAGCAAATTCACATTCTTCAAAATGATGATTAGTTAATTGAGAGACTTCTACAACTTAAGCACATGATAAACAAGTTGTAAGCATGACACATTCCTTCCATAAATGCATATCAAGCTTTTAACTTTAAATGAATTCTTTATTTTCAATACCACAAAATTCACAAGCTTATGTTATTTACTAAAAAACTTAATCAGGATTATTTTGTTATTATTTCTTTTTTGGTTATGGTTTTTTTTCTTATTCAAAAGAAGTTTAAACATTACCTCCATTATCTATTTTATAAAATAATTCTTCTAGAATTTGTTATTGTGCAGGTCTAATTCCTTTTATACTTTCTCTTACTTTATCTGCTTAATTTTTATAAACTTCAGTTATAATATAAATAGCACAAGTTCTAACTTATTCAGCAGAATGATCTAAATATTTAATAGCTACATCCATAACAGGATTATATGGAATTCTTTCATTATTAATTTTATATTTTTAGATTAAGTTATAAATTAACATTAATCTTGCTTAAATGTGTCTAATTGATGATAATTATAAATTTGGTTTTGTTGTAATACCTTTTACTAAATGATTGATTACTCCAGCACTACCCATAATCTATGTTTCAGCTAGAGTTAATAAAATCTTTTTGCATTCCTCTTTATGTCTCTCATTAATATCACCCATTTTCTCCATAAGAATCTAAGTTTATTAATATATTATACCAATACAATATTATCTAAAATTATTGGACTTTCATCATTTAATTTATTTGGTTTCAATTTAAGTAGAGTTTATTACATTAGTTATAGACTTGCATAAACTACTTTGTCTGCTTTATCTTAAATGCCTTTATAAATTAATAATAAGGTTGCTTAAAATGCTCCATCAATATTAGAAATATTAATTTAAGTTGGATTGTTAAATTGTTCAATTAGCCATCTTATACCTTCCTCTCTACGTGCCCAATTCTTAGAAAAATAGTTTTTACAAAAATCTATTCCATAATATGGTTTTATAGCCTCAACTTATTTTTAATTTTCAGAACTCAATTCTTCAATTTATTATTTACTTTTATCTACTTCTGAATATTCCTCCTAAATCTAAATCTAATTATTATTATTTTATTTATTTTTTATAGCTGGAATTACCATTTCATCATAATTTAATAATTTTTCATTTTTAAGTTATTAATCAAAAGAAGTAGGTTATTAATAACTTGTATTTGCATTCTCATTTTGATTATTTGTAATATGAGTAATGTTATCGTTATTATTTAATTATTCAATTAAATATGTTTATTCTTCTTAAGGCATTCTATCAAAACTATCCTCAATTATCTTATTATTATCTACTTATTTAATTGATGGTTTTGAGTTTCTTCTATCTTCATAATTATCTGTTTGTTCACCTAATTCTTATTGCCTAATCTTGTCAATATTTGGTTTATATTCATTGCCTTATTCATCTATAAGTCCATTTTCAATTTTCAATTTATAAATTTATTCTTTAATTGCTTCTGCCTAATCATAATCCTCATTTTATAACACTTCCTTTTTTCTCTCTTCCAAATCTCTCAATTAAACTCCCAACGATCTTAATTGTGTTATTCTATTTTTTAGTTTTTTAGCTTCTTAATAGTTTTCCTACTTAATTGCATAATCTTTGGACTCTCATATTAAGGAATACTTTACATGTTCAAGTGCAATAATATGTGCCAATAATTTAGTGTCAATCAATTTATCTTATTATGGATTGTATAATTCATCTAAGACCTTATCTTAAACCTTATTTGATTTTTTAGGTGGAGGAAGTTCTGCCTTTTCACCATAAATTCTAATTGCTACAATACCAACTTGATTAAATGGATTAAACTTATTTTCATGATTACGATGCACCAATAGTTTTAAATAGTTGCAATTAGCTTCATCTATAGATACTGTTTTGAGCTCTCTTGCTTACCAGTTTGATTGTTCGTTGGAATGAAATGTAAAATAGCCAATTTTTTTAAAACTTGCATTTTCTAAATCCATTCTTCCTTATAGTCTTCCAATAAAAACTTCTATCTTTGTAGGTATTTTCTTCTCGTGAGATAGAATCTACATTTTATGAACAGTTATGGCAGATTAGAATTGCAATATTAATTCTTATGGATATTAGCAAAACCTACAACTCTACCAACCTAAAGGAGTTGATGATATTTCTAATAAATTTGATGGGGGAAACTAAGGATCTTGACTTTAAGCATAAGGTATTGTAAAAGTTATGAATCTAGTATTTTTTGGTTAATTCATTTAATAAAATATTTATATTCATTATCAATTAAGCATTTTTATTCCCTTATTGCATCTAAATCTTCCTCCTATAGATCATTAATTTAAATTTACAATAATAATAAAGCAAGGTTTATATTAAAGATTATTTATAGCTCTATTTCTTAGTTTTTAATGCATATATCATTATTAATAAACACCAAATATACAAAGAATATGAATCTCATATTTATAAAATATATTATAAACACGTAGACATTGAATTAATAGGTAATATTAGGATTCTGTTTATATCAATGAACTAAATTATGATAGAAGTGGATAAATTATTATATTAATGCATAGTAAATTTTTGATATTTTTAGAATCCTTTTAGACTAAAATTTGTAGATAAATTCTTATTTTTCTAATATTATCATTGTAATTTCTTAAATATCTGAATTGTAATGAAAGTCAGAAAAATTAATTCTAACTAATATTTGAAACTAATTAGAAATTCAACATTTTTGGATATTATTTTAATTCATTTAACTATCATAAAGAAAAAAATCAATATTCCTTATTAAATTTAATTTATTAACAAAAACTTTGGAAATTTATTCATTTTAAATAATTAAATGAATAATCTATAAGAACTATATTAATACACTTTATCATATGTAAAGAAAGAATTGTAAATTAACTTATGTTGAATTTTATCTCTTTCTCCTTAATAATCGATATTAGTATTGACAAATAGGAGGCTTAATTTAAGAATTGTAAAATATATTAATATTATGTATTAATAAATAATCAATCTAAGATTATAAATTATTATCTTATTTTAAAAGATAATTTTTGTTTTTATATATTTAATTTATTATGAATTAAAACTAATAAGACAATTATATGTATGTGTAAATGTAAGATTAGTATCCTTTAACAATGCAAAATAATAGTTAATAGAACTACTAACAACAGTAATATTAATATTAATAATAATAATAATAACAATACTTACCATAAGATGTGACAAATTAAATGTATTTATAATAATAATACCCTGATGGAGCAGGAAGATTAATCATAATTGACTAAGCATAAACTTCTGGATATAGACCTAGCAACTTTTTAGTTTTATTTTTAATCACACTAACAATATCTCTTTGCATAGGTGTTATTATTTGGATGTGTTTGGATTGATATATAATCAATTATGAAATAAAAATAACTAAATATATATAGTTAATTTATAATATGAATGAAAATTAGGAAAATTAAAAGAGTATCAAAATCAACAATCCATATGAAAATGATGAAAATGAACTTTTATAATATGAAGATAGTATATTGAATTTATATTAAATTAGACCAAAAAGAAGTTCAAACAGATAAAAGCACATTTGTCATCCAAATAATTTCAATCATTTTAATAATCATATATTTTATTGGTATCCTAATTGCGATTATATGAGAATATTACAAAAGTTAATGATGCTTAAAATTTTTAATATTAATGAATAATTTTTTTCAATCATTAATTTATATAAAACTCAACAGGCAATTTATTTGATATAAGTTAGTTCAGAAATAGACTATATTTTATCAATATTCTAAAACTATTTCTTTCTAATGATATTTAATTGCTTTGCTTAATTATAATATCAAATATTTTAATATATTCATTCTAATTCTAGCCATTCTTCTATTTTATAATTGTTTTTCCCTTATTATAAATTTATAAATGTACCAGCTAAATGAAAAGTAATTACTTTCAACAATAAATCTACTAGATCTTGGTAACTTAAAAATTCAGCTAAATGAGTAAGGTCAATTAAGTCTTTTTTTCCAAGCAATTTTACTATATTATAATCCCTTTCTTCAATCATATCTAACTTCAAATAATCACTATTACCTTATAATTTATTTGAAAATAAAAGTAATTTTGTTGAAGTATTTTCTTTTTAGGTATCTGATTTATGAGCATCGATATACTTTTAAAGATTGTCATAAACACTTTTTTTATATTAGGGAATAGTTGTCATTTCAAAAATAACATTCTCATTGCCTATATTATTTATAGAACCCAATCGATTTCTTATATTATCATTAATCTAATTAAAAATTCTATTACTCTAATTAGTGTTTCAATACCATCCTCAGTTATAAATTTAAGAATATATTCTTATTCAAAATTTATTTATTGATCTTAATTAGATAACATAGCTAAAGTTTTATGTAAATTAAATTTATTAGTATTTATATTTTTTAATATTTCTTTATATGAAAAACTTTCAATAAAAACATATTCTATTGAATATTAAAATTCATTTGATTTTTTTATTAGAACTTCCTTGATTTTTTATTACATATACTTTTGGCTCTTGATTGTCAGGATCATTGTAAACAAATTGATCATCTTCAAGATATTTAATTTTTTCTTCAGCATCTTTTTCCAAATTATTTTATTTAATTAATTCATCAGTATATTGAACTACTTTATTTTCATAACGATCTTTCTCATACTTATATTCTGCCATCAATCTTCTTATCTAAATAAAATATAACAAATATATACATTAACAACATTAACTTATTACAAATCAGGATAATCATCATTATTATCATCTTTTTTAGGGGTTTAATTTTTTGAATCAAGATCTGTCTTTCCAGGTTTTAGTTTATTTAGATCATAACCATGTTATTTTAATAAACTTTCCAAATAAATAATATGAATTTTTAGTTCATCTATTTGTTTTTCTAACTTGTTTATTTAATCTTTATATTTAGCATCATTTTATTATCCTGGTTTTTTATCTGATTATCCTTATTTATCATTTCCTTGTTGCTCTTCTCTATTTTTTGTTGGAGTCTTTTACTTTTAATCATCAATTTATTTTTGAAGTTCCTTTATCTTTTCTTCTTATTTTTTTATCTTTTCATCTGTTTGAGATTTTTCCTTTTCTAATTTAGTTATCTACTCTTTTAATTTATTATTTTCATTAGTTTAATCTTTTAATTTTTTATTATCTTCATCTTTTTTTTTGATTTCTTCTTGTTGTTTCTTTATTATTTCATTTTAGTTTTTTTCAGTTTACTTTTTTTCATTATTTTCCTTTTAATCTTTATCAATTTTTTCTTTTAATTTTGATATTTCTTCTTCTTTCTTTTTTAATTCTTATTCAATTTTATTATATTTTTCATCCTTTTATTTTTATGAATTAACATCTTTTTGTTATTTTTAAATCTATTCCTATAATTTAGAAATTTGATCAGTCTTTTAGTCTATTTCTTTTTTAAGTATTTTTATTTATTCTTAATATTCTTTTTCTTTATTATTAATTTTTTCTGTTTTTTATATATCTTCTTATAATTTCTTTATTTATTCATCCTTTTTCTTAATATCTGTTTCTTATTTTTTTATTGTTTAATTTTATTCATTTTCTTTTTATGTTTTTTATTATTTCTCTACACTATCCTTTTAATTTTATTCTTAACTTTTTTTAAGCAATTCTTCTAATTATTTTATTTACTAGGTTTTATTTAAATTATCTTAGGTCAATTTTTCTACTTCTTTTTCTAATTAGCGATATGTTTTTTATTCATTCTTCTCTTTCTTTGATTCCTTTTCATATTTCTTTTTAGTTTTATTATTATCATCTACATCAACATCTTCTGCAAAATCTTCAATTACATCTTCTTCATCTAGAGTATCAGATTTTAAAATTTTATTTAATTTATTTATTTATTCATTCAAATTAGCTATTTATTTTTGTAAATCATCTATTATTTAATCTTTTTTATTCAATTTTTCTTAAGATCTCTCACTTATTTAATTGCATTATTCCTCTAATTATTTAAGTTTCTTTTCATTATTCTATAAATTCTTTATGGTTTGTTCTAATTAATTGTTTTATTGTTTTAGTTTTTATGCTTTATCTATTTGCTATTCAATCTCTTTCGAATTGTTATGCTCTTATTTAATTATTTCTTCCTTAAGTCTTTACACTTCTTATTCTAATTCCTTAATTGACTCCTTGTATTTCTTCTCACTATTATCACTTGTTTTCTTAATATCTTCTTTCTCTTTTTCTACTTTCTTCAATTTATCATAGCTTTCTTTTAGCTCTTTCAATTGATTTTATAAATTTTCTATTTAAGAAGTTTATGATTGCAAGTCATTAAGTAATTCTAATTTTTATTCCTCTAATTAATCCAATTTCTTTTATTGATTTATTTCAGAGGATTTGACTTTTTAACTTACATTTTCTTTCTCTTTAGAAATCTTAGCAATTTATTTTTAATAATCCTCTAGTTATTACTTTAATTTTTAAATTTCTTATTCCAAATTTTGGATACTTTATTATTTTTCATCTAAATCTTATTCATAATTTTGAATTTATTCTATTGTTTATTTTTCATATTCTTAGTAAATTTTAATTTTTTAAATTTGATCAGTAATAGTCTTGTCCAATGTTTTTACTTTTTCTTTCTATCTATTATAATCATTTTCTATTTAAGTTAATCTTTGTAATTCTATGTCTTTTAGTTTTATTTAATTCTCTACATCAATTAATTTATCTATTTATGACTAAAGTTCTATTTTATCTTAAGTTAATTGTTAAACCTATTTTGTTAATTTAGTGATTTATTGTTAAAGTGTATTGATGGTTTGCTTTAATGATTCTTCAGCTTTCTCTTTTAATCTAATTTAATCATTTAATTCCTCTTTTTCTCGATCAATCAAATCTATTTATGAGATCTAACTAGTTCTTTCTGAAATATCCTATTTAAACTTTTTGATCTCTTCCTTTTTTTCTTTAACAGAAATTTCTAATTTTTTAATTTATTCCTATAACTTGTAAATAATATCATCTTTAACTTTGATATTTAAAAATGTTTATTCAATATCATTTTACAATTATTTATTAGCTTCGTCATCTTATTTCAACTTTTCTTATAATTATTTTATTTATTATTCTAATTATTTAATTTATTTTTGATAAATATTATTTTCTGATTATAGCTTTGATTCTATGTTTTTTCTTGATTTTTATTCCTCTTTTAAATCTTCAACCTCCTAAGTAAATTCAAAATGCTAAGCTTCTAATTTTTCTAAATCTGCAATTTTCTCTTTTAATTTTGCAATAATTTCATCTTTAAGTTTTGCTTATTAATTTAATTTATTTTCAAATTGTTTTTTTTCTTCTTCTAATTTTTTTCTTAACTATTCAATATCTCTTTCTAAACTATTTTTTTCATCTTCATTTATTAGTATATGTTCTTCCAATAACTTTATTTTATTTTCAAGTTATTCAGTGTTTTACTTATGTTCTTCAATCAAATTTGATTATTTCTTATATTTTTCTTCTAACTTTTTCAATTATTAAGCTTTATCTTCTAAAAGTTAATTTTCTTAAGATTTCTTTTTTATTTCTCTTCTAAGTTCTTCAATCTAATTTTCTTATTCTTCAATTTTATTTTGTTGTTCTATTATTTTTTATTATAATTGTTCCATTTCTATTAATTTAGATGAAAGCTTTTCATTTTCCTTTTAAATTTCTTTAATTTAATCTTTCAATTTTTTCAATTCTTAATCCTTTAACTAAATTTACTACTCTAAGAATTTAATTCTTTCTTAATTAATATTTTCATTATCTAAATACTCCTGTAATTATTATTCAGTTTCTATTAATTTTTTTTATATATTGATTAATTAATCACCCTTTTTTGTAAATTCTCTTTGTTATTCTTATAATTTTTTGATTGTTTAATCTTTTGATTAAATAATAGCATCTAAATTATTGATAGTTGAAATTTGATCATCAATTTTAACTTAATTTGTTTCATCTTTTATTTTATGTTCACTAATTAATATTTCTAATTAAGACATTCTTTCTTACTTTTTTTAATAATCTTTAATAGTTTCTTACAATTTTTTGAAATCTAATTCATAATTTCTGATTCTTTATTATAAATCTGATGTATCTTCTCTAACTTTTATTATTTCTGTTTCCTTCTCAATTATTTACTAATGTAATTAATCTATTTCTGCTTAAATTTCAGGTGATTTCTGATTAACTAATTGTTATTTTAATTTGGTTATTTCAAATTCCTTTTCTCTGATTGTTAATTAAAATTTCAATTGTATTTCATTTAATTATTATTAAGATGTATGATATTAATCATTAATTTATTCAATCATTCCTTCCAAACTTTAAATCTTCTCTTATTATAATCTATTCTCATCTTATAACTTCTTTAATTCATGTTCCTTTTATTTTAATTGATTTTCTAATTTTTTTATTATTTCTTTATTTTATTTATCTTAATATTATAATTCTCTTATTTATTATGTTTCTAATTCTTCAATTGTATTTTCCAATTTAGTCAAATTTTCCTTCCAACTTTCTTTTTCTTATTCATGGTTTTTTAGTTATTAATCTTTTTATTTAATAAGATTTTCTAATTTATTAATTTAATCTTATAGTTATTTGTTATTTTATTCAAATTTATTGATTTATTGATTAAGTTCTTAAATTTCCTTGATTAAATCATTTTCTCTGTTTGAATCTTATTAAATTTCTAATAATTTTTCTTATAACTTCTTTAGATCTTAATCTTTTAATTTAATTTATGTTTAAAGATGTTATATTTAAATTTTAAGATCTCCATTTTCTCCAATTTATTAATTTAATTTATCATATAATTCATCCAATTCCTATTATAACTTTGTAGTTCTTTCTGGAGTTCTTTAATTACCTTAAATATTGCTCTATAATTTTTTAACTTCAATTTCAAGGATTCTAATTTATTCTTATAATTCTTCATTCTAAATTAAGTATTTTCTCATTTCTACAGTTTTTTCTTCATTTATTTCTTTAACTTTATTTGTCATTTCTCTTGTTTATTCTTAATACTTTGTTAATTAATACTCTTTAGTTTTATTACTCTATTCTAATTTATATATATTTTCTTATTATTCCTTGTCAATCTAATTAAGTTTATCAATTTCTTCCTTTAATTTATTAATATTTTCTTCATAATCTTTTAATTTTAATTAGTATAATTACAAATCCCTATTCTTTTCTTTTAATTTCTTTATTTCTTATTCTTTAGTCTTAATTTCATATTCTTATTATTAAATTTTTTATTCAAGTTCCTCTACTAATTAAGCTTAAGAATTAGCTTCTTAATGCAACTTTTCAATAAGATCACTTTAATTATTGCTCTTTTCTAAAGCTTTGGTTAATTCCTTAATTTATTCTTAGAGTTTCTTAACTTCTTGATCTTTAACTTTAAGAGAATCTTATAGATCCTTCATTTAATCTTCAAAAAAGTTTATTTCATCTTGCATTTATTTATTGATTTATTCAATCTTCTTTTAATTGGCTAATAATTCATCTTTATACTTTTAAAGTGCCTTCTGGTATTCAGCTTCTTTCTTTTATGAAGTTTTTTAATTTATCTTATTATCTGAATCGTTATTTTCAATTTCAAGCATTAAATCTTAAACTTTTTACTCTAACTCTCCAACTTTTTTTTCTAATAATTTATTTTCTTATTCTAATTTAAATTATTTATTTAATTAATCTTTTAATTATCTAATTTCCTTTTCTCTTAATTCCATTAAACTAAGTTATTTATCTTATTCATTTATTATAGCATCTTATTGATTTATTTTATACATTGCTTAATTTAATTCTTATTATAGTTTTTAATTTTCTGCCTTTAAATTAGCAATAATTTTTTAAAGATCTTTAGTTGAATCTTCATCATCTTTTTTTTTAGCTCCTTCCAAACCATGTTTCTTTTTCTTCTTTTCTTTCTCCTCATTAGGATCTTTCTAATCAAAATTATCTTAATTATCTTCCTCTTATTAGAAAACATCAGTAGCATTTTTAGTTGCTTCTCCTGGATTTCTTTAATTTTTATTAGAATTATTATTTTTTGGAGAATTAGGATTCTAATTATCATTAGTTTATCTATTTTAAACTTTTTTGGTTAAATCTTTAATAATTTTTTATAAGTCCTCAATTAAATTGTCTTTTTCTGATAATTCATTTTGAATATATTACATTCTAGTTTTATATCCTTCAATTTCAATTTTATATTATATTAATTAAACTTATAATGTTTCCATTTCAATTAATACATTTTAATTTTATCCTTGATTCAATTAATCATCTTTCTCTATTATTATTATTCTTAATTATTCAATTTTCTCTTATAATTCTTTTATTATTTAACCATAATATTCCTCAGTCTCAGTTATTTATTTCTTTTCACTACTTGGATCAAATTGTTTCACTTATTTAGAATTAGAAATTTGTATTATTTTCTAAGTCAGTATTTCAATTTCTTAATCTCTTTCTCTCAATAATTCTTCATAATCTACTGTCCCTTAAGCATTATCTCTCTCCAAAAGTCTTTTGGTTATCAAATCTAATTCTTATATCAATTATTAGTTTTACTCTTCCAATTACTTTAATTTATTAGACTAATATATTTAATTGAATATCTTACATTTGCACCTTTATCTACAATATCTAATTTTATTTATAAGTCTTCATTATATCTTATTTTAAAAGAGTTAACCTCTTTCTGTTTTTCTTGTAGCAATAATTTGAGTTATGTGATTTCCTATTCATAATCATTTATGGTCTTATCATGTATTGAATGTTATCTAGTATTTCTTTTTACCTTTTCAAGTTAATCACAGAGTTCAATATTAATTTAGTTAAGATCCTTATTTTCTTTAAAGAGTACATCAATATTTCCCTTTAGCTATTCATTTTCAGCAAGTGCTTCTCTAACAACAGCATTCTAATAATGATTTCATTATATACTAATTTATCATTAGCTCTAAGTAGTTATTTGATTTTTTATTCGTAATCATCCTATGATTAGTGTGAAAGAGCTGGCGAGGCAGTTGGATCATAATTTCTGTACATTATAAAAATATTTTGAAATAAATTTATTAAATAAAACAAATGAAAAATGTATAGCTTGAGTTTAAATTAAAAAACAGTTTTATTTTCCTAAAAAATCACAAAATTTTATCTAAAGTTTAGCAAAGTACCTAGAATTATTGTTCTTCTTCTAAATCTTCTTTATCAAATATCAATTATTTATAATCAGCTTCTGGTTTTCGGAGAAGTGATTAATTCTAAGCTTTTGTTATTTTTGTACTTTCAGCCGTGTTATTAAAAAAGTTATTACTAGTTTTTTGCATTTTCTCTCTACTTAAAAATTGATTATTATGATGAATGCGAAACTTCGCCTTTTATGTATAAACATCATTCATACAGTTGGTGTAATAGGATTCAACATTGGTTAACTCTTTTCTCTACTGAATTATCGAGAATTAGGAGCTTTTGGAATCTATTTCCGAATGAAATTAAATTATGATTATGTCGAGGCCATCATTATCTTTAATAATTATATTAATTATATGAAATCCACTTTTTACATTTCATTTTCTTTTATTTTTATAATCTTTTTATTCTATAGAGCCAATTCCATTTTCTTTCAGGGATTAGTTTCCATTAATTTTTAATCTAGATATTATTATATTAAATCAAAAAATTATAGATAAATATTAATGTAAAATATTTGTATAAATATATATATAAAGCATATAAATTCTTAAGTTTCTGGAAGATTACTGTAATAACAAAAGAATATTTGTAGTTACTATTCATTATAGATTATAAAATCTAACAAATCATATAAATGAAATTAACTCAAATCAAAACAATTGAAATTCAATAATTAAAACGATATATTTGTATTAATTTTATACTCAATAATTCCTTTATATAATAGAATAAACAAATTTTGTATCTAAAAATTTCACCAGTTATTATCAATTATAAAGAATCAATTTTCTTATTTTATAGTCCTTCTCATAAAGTAATTAATAATTTATTTTTTCATTTATTTTCTAATTTATTGATAAAGTTAAGAGAGTTTTTTAAAAATGGAATATATATTTATAATTATTTTAAGGCTCAGAATTAATTAAATATTTCTTAATTACATGATTAAAAAATTGACTTTAATATTTATAATTTATCATAAAATACCTGAGTTTTAATCTTTTAATTAATATAGTTTTAATTCTAAACTGATTTTATTGGATTTTTGAAAAATTTATCTATAAGTTTAAAGGTAATATAATTTCTATTCAGATATCCTTTTCTAAATCTAGGTATATATTAAAACATTATTTGAATGTATGATAAATTTTTATATCCTTCTAAAATTAACTATATATATTTATATAAAATTCTTTCCAAATTTCCTAAAAAACTTCATATTAAAATATGAAATCGATCTCTTTTATATTAATTTAAACCTTGAAAATTCTTGAACAATGTTATAAATCTAAATGATTTGCTTCTGCCTCTAAAATCATGGTGATTCTACTTTTAGTTAAATTATAAAGCTATATCCATAATAAAATTTTTCCTATAAAAATATTTTTAATGTAAATGAATGATTTCAGCATGTCTTAAAACAAAAAAAACCCCAATCCTAAAAAAAGCATCATAAAGGAATCTTAATAATAGCAATAACAATAACAATAACAATTATCATAATAGAATCAGAAGACAAGTGAATCCTGTAGAAATAAAAGCGAAAGAAAGCTATATAGTATAGTAGAGCATCAGGAATCATCATCTTTTTTAGACCAAGATCATTATTATTAAAGATCTGAAAGTGAACCACAATAATATAAAAGCAATTATTCAATAGATGATTACAGAGATGAATTCACTCCAAAAAAGAAAGTATTAACATATTAAAATTAAAATTACACATTAAACTCTATTTAACTTGAAAATTTATCTTTAAATACTCATTCTGTAGATAATGAGATGTAAGGTGAAGCCCAATTTTAATCTTCTTACTATGAAGATGATTACCATATTTATTAATCTGAAATTTAAAAGTTGAATTAATGAATCATTTCTATATATTATTTTCATATTTCCAAAAACTTTAAGGGTATTTTTAAATATTTTTTTATAAGTGAATTAAAGTTTATTCTTACCTTTAGAATTTTAATGATAATTTAAAAAATCGTATTATATCTTTTTTGATTTAAGGTGTAGATAGATTCTACTTTTGGTCATATTGATTTTTTTTTTTTATCATTTTAAATACTTTAATAATAATTTATCTATTCATTATTCAATATTTCTTAATTTATGTTAATTATTAAAAGAATAATGATAATATTTTAAATTTTATGTTATTAAATTATATTTCATTTTGTTGTTTCAGCTGCAACTCTTTTAGCTTCTTCAATTACATCCTCAAATGTACCTTACATATAGAATGCATTTTCTGGATATTCATCACCTTCACCATCAAGCAATGCTAAAATAGATAGAAAAATTTAATACCTCTGAATCCAGCAATAGTGTCACTAAGTGAAACGAATTTACCCTTTCTTCCTGAGAAAACTTCAGACATAAAGAATGGTTAAGAAAGGAATCTTTGTACTTTTCTGGCTCTAGATACAGTAAGTTTATCATCTTCAGATAATTCATCCATACCCAAAATGGCAATAATATCTTAGAGTGATTTATAATCTTACAATAACTTTTAAACTCCTCTTGTGACTGTATAATGTCTAATATAATTTAAATAAAATAAATTACTTTTCACCAACAATATTTGGGTCCATCATACGAGATGAAGAATCCAATGGATCAACAGCTGGATAAATACCTAATTCTGTTAATGCTCTTGATAACACAGTAGTAGCATCCAAGTGAGCAAATGTTGTAGCTGGTGCTGGATCTGTAAGATCATCTGCAGGTACATAAATAGCTTAAACTGATGTAATTGATCCCTTCTTTGTTGTTGTAATACGTTCTTATAATTAACCTAAATCTGTTGCCAATGTTGGTTAATAACCGACAGCTGATGGAATACGTCCCAATAAGGCTGACACTTCTGAACATGCTTATGTGAATCTGAAAATGTTGTCAATAAAGAGTAACACATCTTTTCCTTCTTCATCTCTGAAATATTCAGCAACTGTCAAACCAGTCAAACCAACTCTGGCTCTTGCACCGGGTGGTTCGTTCATTTAACCATAAATTAGAGCACATCTTGATCCACCACTTAAATTAATGACACCTGATGCAACCATTTCATGATATAAATCATTTCCTTCTCTTGTTCTTTCTCCTACTCCTGCAAATACTGAATAACCACCATGGGCTTTAGCAACATTATTAATCAATTCTTAAATTAACACAGTCTTTCCTACTCCTGCACCACCGAACAATCCAATTTTACCACCTCTAGCATATGGAGCCAATAAATCCACGACTTTAATACCAGTGATCAAAATTTCAGCACCACTACCTTAATCAACAAAACTTGGAGCTTCTCTGTGAATTGGATATCTAATTTTTGTTTCAATTGGACCTCTTTCATCAATTGGATCACCAATAACATTCATAATACGTCCTAATGTTTCAGGACCAACTGGAATTGTAATTGGACCACCCAAATCTGAAACTGGTTAACCACGAATAAGTCCTTCTGTTGAATCCATGGCAATTGTTCTTACTCTGCTATCACCTAAATGTTGAGCCACTTCCAATATCAATTTATGACTTGTTCCTTAAACTTACAAAGCATTCAAAATAGGAGGTAAAGGACCATCAAATTGGACATCTACAACTGCACCAATAACTTAGGCAATCTATCCTGTTGTTGTTGTTGTTGCCTGTTTTGTTTAAGTTGATGCTTCCTTCTTTGCAGCAGAGAATGCTGTACAAAAATTACATTATAATTATTACCTACACGCATCTATCTGGCCAATGCTTTTGTGAGCATAGTTAATTTTAATAATTAAGGATATGTTTCTGATTCAAATTTTTTAATTACCTTATATAATAATTGTAATTATAAAGAATTTATTATATAACAAAAAATTGATATTCTACACTCATCGTTTAACTTATCTACACTCTTATATCATAAACCCATTCAAAATAAACTGAACAGCTTAATTATTATAATAAAATATCATATTTATAATATAACTCTACTCTTACTTATATCTATAGACTAAGTAAATATGTCTCTTTCATTTTAAAAACAAACCCCATCTTATGATAAAAAAATTGATAATGCATATATGGTAAATATAAATATGAAAAATTATTAATATCCTTTCTTAAAATTGTTTAGAAACTCTGAAAAATAAATATTTATTGCTTCATTAAATATCGATAAAATATGTTAGTATCAATTTGTTCAAATGTATATAAGAACAAAATTAAATCAACTTATTTTTTCAGATTTTTATCAAATTTCTTTTAGTTAAACAGTATTATTATAATTATTATTATTTTTTCATTTAATAAAACTTGGGTTGATTCTGAATATCTTTATTTTAAGAAATCAATATTTTTATTTTTATTTTATAATAAAAAATGAAAACTTTTTTTACAGAAGTAGACAGTAAGAGTGATAAATCACATTTGCGAGAAATCAATCAGTTACTCATGCGACTAAATTTAGAATCTCCTCGTACATAGCTTGCCATGAAAGAACTAAATTTAACTAAATATGATTGCTAACTTAAGTAAAATAGTGCCCAAATTATCATACAAGAACTTTGTCCAATTTCTTACATTATCATAATGAATCGAGAACCATGTACTTAAACCATTTACAATATCTCAAAGGTAGTCAATAATTCTAAGATTTAATTAGAAAATCTCTCGAATTTAGTGAATCGCAGAAGAGAAATTATTGGTCCATCCATAAAAATTGTATAAAGAACACCTAAACAATTTAAATAATATAACTTTGTTAAGAAAGTTTTTGATCATGATCTCAAAATGCTATATTAATCTGAACTCTAAATAAAAACAGCATAACAAAAGAATACTGATAAAATCTATAGGTAAGTTGAAGAAAAATTAAAATCCATCTCTTATAAAGCAAAATAGCATAATAATAAAGTAGAAAGAAAATTATCTTTATTAAGAGAGAGAAGAAAACACGAACTTGATGATAGGCTGAGTAAAAGTTTAGATTTTGATTCTAAATTTGAACCTATTTAAAAGACTTTATAAGAATCAAAAATGAAATTCTAAATTATGATGTAATCTAAGACTCAATAAACTTTGGATTATCATAGATAAAAAAAGAAGAATATAATTGAATAAGAAGAATTAAGAAGAACTAAATTATAATATTCAATGGAAACATCACAACGAAGTACTTTCATAAGATAAGGTATGGCTAGTTAAGATAGAATACAATAGGCTTAATTGATAGAATAGGAGCAGTAGAATAAGGTGATTCAGAAAATAGGTAATTAAGTTGAAAAATCTAATTACATGACTTCTAAGAACTAGTAAGACATATAAAAGGCTCTATAGAAATTTAAAGATGAATAAGATCGTAAATTTAATAAAGTGCATAAAAATCTAAATTCAAAAACATAGATGTAATCTTAAAGAGAAAGCATGATTAATTAAGAATTATAAGACAAAATAATGTTCAGTAATGTAAAAGCTAAACAAAGATTAGATGATATTCAATAAAAAATGAAATAGGTGGCTATTTAGAAATAATAGAAATAATAAGAATTATTAAATAAATATATGATAAAAATGGAAAGAAGAAATGATAGAATTATGGATAAACATGTTAAACTTAGATAAAATCTTAAGAAAGACAGTAATTCTCGTAATTTAACTCAATAACAACATTAATTAGTAATTGAAAAAGATGAATTAAACTCTGATATTACAAAAGTATAAAGATTAGTAGTAAGCAAATCAAGTAAAAATATATAAGAATTACTCAATAATTTAAGATTTAATTGAATAATTATATATTTTATAAAAATATTGAAAATTAATGACTAATATTAATAAATTCTTTTATAACTTTGAATATTATAACTCACTTAGTTGATTTCTTATATAAAACAAAAGCTAAAAATCCAGCTGTTACAGTTGCAAAACTAAGTTTTTACCACTGCTTTTCTGCAATAAAACATGATGCAGTAGTAGAACCCAATACCAAAGTCTCAATCAAACCCATCTTTGTATCTAGTTTTTCTTCCAATATAAATTTAGTCATTGAAGAAGCAAGAACTGCTGATGCTGTAGTTTTCCAAATAATATCAGAAAATCTAAAATTAATTATTTAATTATTTTCATTTGTCTATTATTTCTATTATATTTCACTAACTGCTAATTTAGAATCATTTGTTTTAGATTAATTATTTAAAGTTTTACCATCATTTTAATCTTAATTATTACTCAACATAGTTTAATAAAGTTATGCTCTTTCTTTATTTGATTATTTTAATAATTCTCTAATTTCTTTTCTTTTTTCAAATATTTCTTAATTTTAAGTAGTATGTTTTACTAAATTCCAAGCTTAATCAATATCTCTCCATGCTTCTTCATAATCTTATTTCTATTAATATGCCAAGGCTCTTCTATACCAAACCTTTTAATTTTAAGGATCAAGTTGAATTGCCTATTAATTAAAATAATATCTACAATATTAGCATGAGTGATACAAGAATTAGAATCACCTAGATTTAAAAAGCAAGCACTTAAATTAGATAGTAAATTTATTCTTAATTTTTTAAATTATTAAAGTTATTCTTCTGGACATTACATTAAATAATATGGATCACATAATCCTAAAGATAGATTATATTACTCAATAGCTCTGCCATAATTCTTTTACTAAAACCATTAATTTCCTTAATTTTTTAGAAATGTTGCTTCATCTAGAGATTTCTAGAATTAAATAACAAGTTATGATTTTTAATCTAATTCTACTACTTTTGGTGTATTGTTAACTTAAGAATTTTATACATTATTAGTAGATAAACTTTCAATTGTTTCATCAACAATAAATCCATCTTCTACTTGTTTTTCTTCTTCTTATATAATTTCCTTTT